CCCCCAGTAAAATCTAATGTCTAACCCAAAGGATGGTCATTGTGGTCTTCCCATTCTTGGAAATATCGAGGCTTTAATAATGGTCTAAATCCAGGAGAACTTTTGGTTGATCGAAAAAAAGTGTCTGACCTCTCAACCTCTAAAGTCAAAAGTTGCTTAATGCTTTTCCATAAGTCCTTTCAGAAGTTTCGTGTGAACAGAGATTTAGAATAGGTTGACATGATAACTTCCTTTTGCCTTCTTCCGTTTCTCATGAATTTAAAGTTAATGGTCAAGCAGCAATAAAGATGTGAATAAAAAGGAATGAAATTAATCAATCAAGTTGGATTTACGTGTAAGATTGTAAACCACGGTTGGCTGACCATATAAACAACGGTAAATGATTTACGTGTTAATTTGGATCAATTGATGATGAAGATGTGAGCTTGAGTTATTGTTGAGACTAGCCGTTGATGATTGCATTGGAGGTGAGAGAAGATGAACAATTAGCATAATGATAAAGGTTATATGTTGAGGATAATGAGAGTAAAGGTAAATAACGGCAGGAAGAATGGACATCATTCAGAATGAAAACAATGCTCCAAGGATTAGGATAAATTAAATGGACAAAAATTAATAACAATAACAATGTTTAACTCTTTTCAGTTATTTCACGTTTGGACAGTAAAAGGTAAATTGAAAAGAATAAAAATGACGGAAAAATTAAATTATGTTGTTACATTATGTATTAACATGAACAGTCAGTTGATGTATCAAAGTTCGTCAAGACAATGAGGTCGCAAATTTGTGAATGAACCAGTTTCGGACATCATTAGTTGATGAGTTGAAGAGCGATGAAAAAAAGGTAAATTAGCAAATTAGTGTGAGAGTGAAAGTAAGATACGAGGTCTGAGGAAAGCGCAATTAATTAGTGAAATAAAACATCTACCATTGAGGATGTAAGTCGCATTGTTTCTCGATTAAAGGTTCAAGTAGAGGAGTGTCCATCAACTTGTTCCTTCAGTTGCTGGCCATATTTTGTTGACCAGATCTTCGCTTCATTTTATTTTTCATTATTTTATCATTTTCATCGCCGTTGTCATATGTGGCTGAAGCACAGGATTGATTATTGTCCTTCTTGATACTGTCAACATTCACCTTTCATTGTTGTTCTGATTGCAATTTATAATCAAATAAGTTTAATTTATTGAAATATATCTCCACCTTAAACTTGGAGTTTACTGTTTGTTATTGTGTTTTTGTGATTTCCAGCGTTTTCTAGGTGTTTAATAGTCCAAATCCTACAACTTAATTGGTTCCGAAATGCATTCATCGGTAAGTTGAAAAATTATGATTCCTTTGATATTAGTGAATATTTGACATTAACATTTGCCTTAAAAATCGTCAAGTACAGCAACCAGTAACCAAATATTTTATTTTCAGATCATTGGTTTTGCTTTACTTTTAGTCTTAACCTTTACCGAGGCTAAAGATCTTAAGTCACTTGAAACAGCGTACTCGTCGCGCTACCCATTACCGCCACCAGAATATGGACAATCTCATGGATCTTACGGAAAACATGATTCATCTTATGGAGCTCATGGACACGATGATTACGGTTAGTTTAATCGCCTTTTGCATGTGTTTTATGTGCTTAAATTTATTTTTTTCCATAATTGTATTTGGATATTTGCCTTTAATTTATGGAAACAGGTACTCATGATAAGTATGGTGACCACAACTCAGGGTCTCATGGGTTGAAAAAATACTCTAACTATGGTTTGAGTAAGGCTGATGGAGCTCAAAGTGATGCTTACAAGCGAAATCATGGTTTTGGCCTTTATTCAAGAAATCGCGGTTATGGATATGAGAAACATTATGCTTATGATAAAGAGGCAAGTCAATTTTCATTTTTCACATTCTGAGTGATCTGATCTCTAGTCTTGAATTTAGTTGGTTTGAAGTTCAAACATATTGAGGTCAAATATGATCTGAGAGACAATCAAGTTGTTGACAGTTAATGATGTTGGCCAAGAAAATGAAACAAAAAGATTGATGGTCACTCAATAACTAATGTTGAAATGACAATGAATAATGATATAATAAATTAATTATTCATTTGTTTCCTTTAACACTTTTACACTTTTCAACTCGACAGTATTCAACCAATAAACATGGATCAGATCATGCAACTCAATCTGGTCACCACGGACATCATGATGAACATGGTCAACATGGTAAGTTAGACATTAAACTTTTAAAACAAAACCAATTCCATAATAAATTTCCCAATAAAACTTGAACAATAAACGAGAAACAAGCCTTTGATGACTTTAACTGCCTTGACTTTAACTGTGAATCCCATTCTTATTTAATCACTGTTAGATCTTGCTTCCCACGGAGACTACAAGAAGGATAATTATGGAGTTCATGATAAATATGGCAAACATGGACATGGTAAATATGGTCACAATTCTGAGTCCTATGGTAATCATGGACACAACTATAAAAGGTAATGAAATTATAAAATTAATGTTCAACTCTCATTACATATTGAGTTTTTAGGTGAAGTTGTCTTAACCTGGTAACTTGTATAGCTTGGGAGTTCACCAGTCGGTTGACTTGTTAAAATTAGGTTTCATGTCGATATTGTATTATTTTAGATAAAATTATCGATTCCCTTGAATTGTCTTGATTTTTTCGTTTAATTATGCGATTTACGATTGAACATATTCTAATATCTTTTTCCTCTTTCTAAAGCTTACCCAAACCACAAGTTGCCCCATACCACCATTACAGAGGAGGATATCATGGGCAATCAAATTATGAAGCACCAATTTCATATGAAGCATCTCATGAGCAACCCTTACGAACCTATTCGGATGCCCCAAAATCTGAGCCTCAATCATCTAAATATTATTAGGAATCGACTGATTTGAACAAACAAAATGATGAGTTGGTCAAAGGTTCCTTCAAGTTTGGTTGATCCATATTTTTGATCAAATCCTCAATTGATTCATCATCTCAACACATTTAAAATATTTTTACAAGCCTGGCCAATAGACCTTCATATAGCCATATTCATTAAAATATCAATATATCAGACCAACAAAAAAAGCTAACTCTAAAATCAACTCTTTCATTACTAGGACCAAGCCATGTAAAGACCTTTTCATTTGTCATTTTTTGTAACATCAAGATTATTATCTCTTTATATGATTTAATTCAGGCTTCGTCATCATTCATTAAATTTCATATCAACTGAATACAGTTGTTTAACTAATTTGTAATCATAAAATCAGCAGTAATTAGTAGCTATCTTCCTCCAACTGACATGATCATTAACCGAGATACAATTAACACCCTTGTGAACCTAGAGCCAACAGTAAAGGTTAACATCATTTGCAATAATTTCATTTCTTCATTATAACCAAATTAGTTCTTAATTTACTTCCACTAATCATCAATTGGTTGATCTGTCAAGTATTAATTTAAATATTGACAAAAAAGCCAACCAACAATAGGACTCGATAATTAATCAAGTTCATGGGCTACTTTTATGGCCAATTTGATTTAATTGTCTGGTAGAACCAAATTATTTTGATTGACTATAATTTCCTCCAGTCAAGCTAATTGATTAAAATCCAGCTCTTGGGTTAAGGTTGTTATGGATGAATTGATTTGTTTGGATAAGCATTTGTTAATGAAAATTTAACCAATTGTGGCAATGATTGTTATATTGATTGTATTGTAGTGATGTATTGATTTTTCCGCGAATCTCCACAATTTATATTTCAATCAATTTGAAATTGGAAAAGAAAATTGAAATTAGCTGAACAATCGGAAAATGTGGAGTTCAATCAATGTTAATGTTGAGTTTTAGAGTCATAATAATCACAATTAAAGAGATTTTCGATATTATTAATGGTTAGATTGTTTCTTTTTATGGAAACAGCGATTAAATTTTCCGGTTGACAATTATACAATACTAATTAGGAGCAAGGACATGATATTGAGATATTCAGGCAATTTCAGTAAATTAGTTTTATGGGTTGATGTTAAAAGATTGGGCAAATCTATTTCTGATTGTAATACAAATAATCATAAATCATATCAGTCATTTTCTTGTGCTACCTAACAATTGTAATGAAAATATTGTATAACACTTTTTCACTGAGTTAATTTAATTTAAATTTTACATTAATAGTTATTACAATGAATTATTGCGGAGCCAGACAACAAATTGAATGCATTAATTCAAGATGAGTTGTTAATGCTGATTCATTTACCACCGTAAATGTTGATTGTCATGAATTTAAAGTTAATATATCTTGCATTAAAGTCTGTTGATCTTGCACAGTAAAGTCTAATTGGTTCGCTCTCGATTTCATGATTACTTTCTTAATCATTTGGCTGAAAAAGGTGATCTCACACACTTTATCAGATGCATAATTTTCATACTGATCAAGTCCATCTTGTAAGATAAGAGTCAGTGAATCGTAATTATTGCGAACCACTTCAAGAACTTGATCTTCCGTTAATGAAGCAACTTGATTAGCAATGCTCCATGCTTCAATTTTTGAATTAAAATGGTTAATTATGGCTTTGATATTAATAAGAGAACTGGCCAGTCTTGTTGCGTGATTTTTACATGGCGATGATCCTTCCATTGATGAATACTTGATAGCTGTGAGAATAAAAGAATAATGTAAAGTCAAGATTTATCTTAAAAATTGATTAAGCAATTATTAAATTAGCTTACCGACAGAATAGAGATTATCGAAAACATTATGCATTCGGATAATTTCATAATGCAGGTCATCATATGATTGAAGTGATGGAAGAAAAGTATCACCAAAAGTGATGAAAAGATTGAAAATGTTAACAATCTGATTAGCCAAACGGAGAATACTAAATTTCTTAATCAATTCTGCTTCATGGTTTACCAAAAATTTGAGCAAATTGACCAATGAATACCAAAGATTACGCCAACTGTAATTGAAACGTATTTTGCACTTCTTCTGATAACAAAGCAGTCTATGAATAACACCAATACAAAGAGTGTATAATTCACAAAGAAAATTTTTCCTTAAATGTGTCGATATAAATTCCACCATCAAGTCTAGAACTGAATAAGCTAATGGTCGAGATAGCTTGTTTCCTTCATCGGCTACTTTTCGATGTCTCATTGGCTGTAAATATTAAAACAAATTTGAATTAGTTTTCAAATCTTAAAGACGCAGATAAAATTAAAAACTCACCAAACGATGTAAATTCACTTTGTATACAATATTGAGATCATGCATGATAGCATTGGCACATTGATCCTCTGATATACAAGTTAAAATTAATAGACATAATCTTGAAGTATCGAAATTTTCCTCATCTAAGCAAAAAAAGAAATGATTAAATATTAGAATAAGACAATAAACAAATCGAGCTTGATCAAAACAAAAATATCTTTGTGCATCTTGACAAGTCGATACGTTTGGGAACAAGATGAAACTATAAACAATCGACCCTAAAGATTTATTTTTAATGATGACGATCAGATGAAGTATTAAAATATTCACGATTTCATCTTATAACCAAATGTATTGACTTGTCAAGATGTTTTTGTTTTGATCAAACTCATTTTCTTCGACTATATTATGATAGTTACCTTTTGTTTGTAACATTACAATAGAGCAAAATTCAAAAAATATCACAAGAAGATTTGAAGGTATGCTTAGCTCATTGGTTGAACTATTATTTGAAAGGTTCGATGATCCGCTGTCGCCATAACACTCAGCTGAGATATGTGCCAATTGAGTAATAAAATTACGATTTAAATGTACAATTCCGTAATATCCCATTAAAATACCATCATCAGGTTCAAGTCCAATGTCCTCGACTGCCTCTTCTTCTGGAACAAACATATTACCAACCATTGATGTCAAGCTGGACAGCAGACCTGTGTTTGTATTTTCTTCCTTCTTATCGTAAAATTTTTTGATGAATTCTATGAAAGAGTGAGATATGACTTGAGCGTACCCATTGAGAACGACTTCATTGTCCACAATTGAAAGTCTAACGGTGAATGGATTAACAACCTGAAATAAAAAAGCAGCAATAGGATTAGATTTACAGAAGTTGACTTGAAATATTTTCATCTGCGAACCTTATTTTTACGATGATTAATTAGAATTGTGATGAGAAGTAGAGTTTGATAACCGTAAGCTTGACGAGCAGCTGGAGAGGCCAGAATCGACATAAAGGCATCGAAAAGTTTATCCGACATGAAATTTTCCGCAAATGGATTGCTTTTGATATCATCGTAACCGGTTAAAAAGGTGATATACAATTTGAGGACAAGCAATTTAATGGATTGTGGATTATCCTCTACTAGAAGTGTGTATAATTTACTCGATACGAGGTTTATTTTAATCTCTAAATCACTTTTACCAATCAATATATCCAGCTGATTTTCAACCTTTATTTTGGTTGATCCTAATATGGTCCTAGACAAAGTTAATAATGTAACCAAAGCATTGGCTATTCTAATGTAATTATCACAGTTTAGAGTGATTGCTGATTGTGTAAACAAAAGGTTTATCAGATTCTTAGATTCGATCAGCTCTTCGTAATTCAATTCAACCAGCAAATCAATCATGGCTTTTGGATTAGCTCGTAACAGAAAAAATTCATCCCAGTAGGCCTCATTATTCACCAAATCCACTACCAAATTAGATTTAGCTTGATGTTTTAAAAGATTCTCATAAATAGACACAATCTTTTCCTTTAAATCTCTTTTCTTTGCTGTCCGAGAAATTGATGGCGGAGTCATTTTGCTGAATACACAGTCACGAATGCTGGAAAATTATCACCTATCGATCCTCAATCCAGCTCAGTGCTGATGATTTGAACAGCAAACCACCTGGTAAACACCTTTTTGCAAACTAAGACGCACAAAGAAATAAAATATTACTAGATGATTGAAGCTTGATAATATAAGTTTGATAGTTGATGTAAATGCTTACCTTGTTGTCACAAAATATAATCAATTTAATTGTGAGAAAATCAATCCAGAAATACGTGACATCTAATGCAAATGGCAACACAAGTGAAAGGAAACAGATGATTATGACTTGAGATGAGGCAAATTAAAAAGATAAGACAAAAGGATATGGCAAGCACGAGGGTAAAGCTTATAAAAATGGTTAAACAGAAATATAAATCTAAATTAAACCCAGAATAATTTTAGCAATAATTAACACATTTAAGTAGGGAAACTCTTATAATACAATATGCAAGAGGCAACTCTAGTTGAAGATGGTATTCTAACATTTCAGCCAATGTAGACTCACAACAGATGATTCTAGCTTATGATTCAAATGATAAATGATGAATCAAGATGAATAATTCTGTAAACGTTTGAGAAAGCTGAAAATTTCGTAAGATTTTCTCAATATTTCAATTCCATGAAAGTTATGACCCCATATGAATGTTAATAAATTTACATATTTTTTTTAACAATATTTGGTCAATACTTTCATGTTATTTTGAATATCAACAAGCGCCATCTATCATGAGAAACTTGTCTCACACAAGATGAGGTTTCTCTGAGAGATGTTACTTTAGGTGCTTCTGCTTTTTGATTTTAAATGTGGGCCGATCCTGGCGGTACTGCAATGCCAGGCCAACCCGTGACAAGGTCTAAGCAAGCTCAGACTCTCATCCGTTTACAAAAATATGTTCAATCGCATACCGGCGGAGTGCGCCGGGTACCAGCGATCAAGCTGATAAGAACAGATACTACACTTTGATCTTAGCCTAGGAGGCCGAGAAGCGATAACTTTAACTTTCCTTTCCCATCTTTATATACCAATATTTTTCCATAGGAATTCCAGTTTTTCTGTTCTGCTTCATTTAATTATATTAATTTAATTTATTTATTTATTTTTTCATGCTAATCACTTTCTTATTGGTTTTTTGCTTGTTTATTACTGATCAAAAATTTGATTTAATCAATTTTTGAATACTAACCATGTTTTAATGTTTTCTGTTCATTAGTCTGTTTCTAAGGTGATTCACGTTGGTTTAAAGTTTACTTATTTCAACCTTTCATTGTAACTGATTTTGCTGTTCTTGGTTAACATTGATTGTTGGAAATTAGCATTACAATGATTCAGTAAATAAAGAAGATTGTAAAATGGCTTTATGAAATAATAGGAAATAAAGTCAGTTCTAAATGTAAACGTTTAATTCAAGTAAAATTTCTATAATTATGCTAAAATTTAATCAATTTAAGCATTTACCAAATTAATTGAGGAAAATTTTTCTAGTGACATTGGTGAGTATGAATGATGGACAGTATACAAGATATAATGATGATAGCTTATTTGTTTCTCATAAAAAAATGTTTTAAAATTATTAGACTGAATTTAACTACTGGCAAAAATTTTGTTTCAACTTTAGAGTTGAGGTAAAATGTTTGACATAATTCAGGATAAATTAAACAAGGAATAAGGTAATATGTATATAAATATTTATATATGAAAGATGTGAGAGATGAAAAAAAGATGAATTTGTGAGGTGGAAGAATATGACAAAATTGGCTATGATAATGGCAGTGTTGGTTAATCAAAGATAATAAATGGGATCCAGTTTTACTCTCAGATAAATAATCCTCTGTGACTTGGTCGATTTGCTGATAGAGAAACCGGGAAAATAAGTTCAAGTTCACTGGGATAGTTTTGCGTCTTGATTATAATTGCACCCGACCAAATTGTACCAAAGTACCTTTGCTGTATAAAGAGAGGAAAGTTGAACATAATCTCTCAATGGATTTGTCCATGTTTGTACTAGATAAATAAATGTGAAGAAAAGAAGTGAAAATATTCGGCAATTTGAATTTCCGATCATTTGATTGAATCAATTTCTTTCAAAATTGCTTCTCTATCTTTTAACGCTTTTGTAGCAGCCTCTTTCTCTTTTTTGGTAGGAATTCGCTTTTTCTGTTTAGCGCTTAAAATTTTTTTATAAGCTTCCATGACTTCAGTATCAGCAGCCTTCAGTTTTGTTTCCCATTCTTGTTTGGTAACATCCTTCTTTGCCATCTCTAAGAGATACTTTATTGTTGCCTGGTTTTTGGCTGAAATGATTTTCAATTCATTTTGACATTTAATCATTTCAGCTAAAATCTCATCCGATTCTTCGTCTAAACCATCAGCTATTTCACCATCTTCTGGATCCAAAAGTCCTTGCTCTTCGAGTTCCTTTTTTAAACGCTTCTCCAAACCATTTGTATTGCCAAAATTGAGCGACTTGAGTAGGTTTATATTGCTTGCATTGGATATTTTTTCATTTAATTCGAGGTCTGTGTCTAATCCTTCTCCTCGAGAAAGATTTTCTTCAATAAGACAGGATACAAGTCTTTGAGTTAAAATTCCGAAGCAACACTTGTCAGAGTCGTTTCTAATATAAATGAGAAAGAAAACAATGAGCAACAAAAAAACAATACAAAGTCAATGATGAATATTACCTAGAATCTTTGGTTTTCTTTGAGCATTTTTCACCTGGCGTTGCACTATTGTACGGACTTAGACCTTTCTTCTTTTCGAGAGCAGTATTACTTTTAGAAGAATCGGTTTTACTTTCCCATGAGTCATCCAATTTACACGATGTATGATTGTTTTTACCAATTGTAGGGATTTTTAAAAGATCATCATCAACTTCACATTGCTTTAGAATCTCTTCAAGATACTAAATTGTAAAAGAAAAAGGAAGAAAAAGATTAGCAATAGAGATCTATGTATAACTCTCAATTTAATAGACAAACCAAGTACCTTAATATCCTCAGGTTTAACGGGGGCACAATAGGGTTCGACAAATTTCCAGAATTTCTCAGGGAGATCATTCCTAATTGGAGTTGAGTTAGAAGCAATTGCCAACGGATCATTAAATGAATCAGGTACGTCTTGTGTTTTCACCTGTAATTAAGAAAAATAAAGCAAAAAACTTAGTAAATTCCAAAAGTCAAAGCTTGTAATACAGAATATAAGTAAAGTTATGCTAATAAAAGCTGTTTACAGAATTACCATTCGTCAATAGTTAAATGACGTAGATAAGGGTAAGGTTTATTTATCAAGAGACCTAAATAAACTATGATTATTTGCGAGATTTGACAGTAGACTTGGGTCATTGGGACTTTTATAAACTCAAACAATTTTCATGATTTCAAGTGTTTGTAAAGTTTGAAACTCAAACACAAGATATGGGCATACTAGATATGAAAGATAGGAAACTTGACATCAAAATAATAAAGACTTTTAGAATCTTACATCTTTACTTTTGGACCTTATTGATCCTTGAGATTTTCCACTATTATTATTCGATCCATGAGGAGCTGAATGATTTGTGGAGTGAGATTCCTTGAATTTTTTACTTGTACTGGCATCCAATTGATTACTTCGTTTTCCTGATGCTTCGGACTGCTGAAAAAAAAGAAAGATGAAAGTAAATTAGCTTGCATAAACAGTCAAAAATAGAAAGGGTACTAAACATAAACAATATGCTTTGCATTAGTTAATAATTACCTTAACATTCAACTTTTTATCCTTTGTTTTAGCATCATGCCAATTGACCAGAGATTCCATTTCATTCTCAAGTTGGTTTTTTCTCGAGATAACCGAAGTTAATAAAGACTCTAGTTCCAATTGTAGACAATCAAGATCTTTCAATCCAATATTTTTTTCATCTTTTCGGTTCAAAATAGAAGATAAACGAGGACAGTCTTTAAAATCAATCGACTTAAAGTCGATGAATAACAATGGGCACTCATCTTCGGAGTCTCTTTCCTTTTTACCTTTACCCTTCATCGGTAAGAATTATCACCAAAATAAATAAATCAAACAACCATAGGACAAGCTTAAGGTTCACACAAACCTTATGATAAACAATTATTTAAAAACAGTGTATGTTGAGAATTCAATTCATTTGAAACTAAAAGAAATAACAAAAAACTCAAAATACAAATCTTGAACAAAAACACAAGCTTAGAGAAAGCTTTTCAACATCCAACAAACAACCCAACAAAATCCTTTTAAAATTGATTGGCGCGATTTTCAAATTTTCTATTGCAACAAAAAACGTTGTTGATGAATTATTCCAGCATTTATTAATTAAACTAGAGTTCATGAGTATAATGACATTAAGATTAGTGCATAAGTACTAATTAACTAATTAGTATCAATTTAATGTATTAATCTTCAACTATCTAATAAAACCTAATTTCTTTGTCTTGGTTTGTAAAACCAGGTTTGGTTTACCAGATGGTTTACAAGCAACGAAATAATCAACATTGAGCTTAAATGAGAATTAGTAAATGGTATTTATTTTTAATGATTAATGATCACGAAGAAGGCAGCAAGAGAAATAGCTTGACCTTTGACATTCGATGGTATAATTATAGTTAACACAGTTTCAAAGGAATTACCACGTCATTCGAAGCTAGACTGGAATATTCCTATCTAAAATTTCACCAGCTTTCGATTTGTGATTGATAAATTCATTTCTTGGTATTGAGGTTCCATTCAATATTTGCTCGTCTGAGCGCTTTTGTCTATGAGGATCTTCATGTGTAACAATCTGTAGTTTCCATCACCTGTTAAGCATTGAATCATTATGGTCTTTCCATGCTTGTTTAATCTCAATAAGGTTGATTGTTTCATTTATTGGCTACTCATCTTTTTGACCATTTCTGATGGGAACTTCATATTTTTTGCTCTTCAATAATTATATCAATTTCAACTATTAGGCCAAATATTAATTCGCATATTTCATTGTACTCTTGAAATTTCATGACATTTAATTGTCTTATTTTTAACGGTTTATTTTTTCAATTTGATAGGGAAAACTAGTAGATAAGTAACTGGTTACAGGTAACCAAGAAGTTGGGTATCCAAGGCACCTGTTAGGTGGAGAATTATTTTCATTTTTATCTTTGTAAGCCATGTGAGTTTTGATATCGTTTTGAGTTTTGTTGCTCTCATTTTGTTTTGCACTTGTTTTGAATGTGAACAAAAGATAACTTGTACGATATTCTAATTCTAATACTTCTAATTTAGTTTAAATACATTTTCCCAGAGTAAAGTAACCTCACTTTTTGTATTTTCCTAAGTTGAGTGTTTAAGAATATTTATTGTGATTTGGTTTTAACATGGAGCAATTAATAAACCCAATAATTTTGAAAGAACTCGCTTGCCAATGGATAAAAGAAGACTGTCCAAATTTTGACTTCCATCCAATCATAAATGGTACAAGAACCAGTGTTTTCAATATTTTCTGTAAAGCACAAGCTGTTCTAGCTGGAAAACCCTTTATTCAAGCAATCTGTGATCAACTTAATTTGACTATTGAATGGCTCGTCGAAGAAGGTGATATTGTCAATGGATCTCCAAAACACGTAGTTAAAATCGCCACCTTAACTGGTCAAACAAGCAATCTACTTTTGGTGGAAAGGACTGTCTTAAATATTTTGTCTCGATGCTCCGGTGTTTCAACGCAAGCCAATCGTATCAAAGAAATAGTTCAATCAATTGATGATAAAGTAGCCCTTGCTGGAACCCGAAAAACAACTCCTGGTTTCAGAATAGTTGAAAAGTATGGACTATTAGTGTCTGGTGCTCTAACCCATCGATATGATTTGAGCTCTATGGTTATGATAAAAGACAACCACATAGATATCGTTGGAAATTCATTGCCTCAATACATTGAATCAGTTCGCCGTTGCTGTGGATTTTCCAGTAAAATAGAAGTTGAATGTCGAAATTTGGACGAAGTTAAGAAAGTAGCACATTTGGGTGTTGATGTAATCATGTTGGACAATTTCAAACCTGAAGCAGTAAAACAATCAGCCGATTGGATTAAAAACAATCATCCCAACGTTCTAGTTGAAGTTTCTGGAGGCATAAACGAAGATAACATTGAAGATTACGTTTACTGTAACGTCGATGTCATTTCCATGGGGTCATTGGTTCAAGGATATTCAACAATTGATTTCTCAATGAAATTTGAAAAATTCAAAGACTCGTAAAAGCAAAAGCATCTGTGGCTACAGTTTAGGTGAAGGTTAATTGATTAGATATTCACTTGAAGCACACACAAATGATTGGATTTAAGTTGAGATTAGAATTTGATTAAATTGATTTTTATGTAATTAGTTATCCATAGATTTTTAATCCAAATATTATTGGTCCCACTGCAGCTTGTCAATATTAGATGTTCATTTTTCAATTTATATAATTTTTGTAAGGGATCAGAAAGGAATTGAACTTGCCATTAAACCAGTTAAAGTCATATTTATTTTATAAAAAATTTGTTATCCGAATGTTTTCGAATTTGAAATTGTATAAAATTCAAAAATAAACTTATAATGAACTGAAATATTGATTAAAATTAAATGTTTATTAACTAATGGTTCAATTTTTTCATTCAAAGTCAAGATTTGCCGAACTTGAAGCGTCAAAATTTTGACTCAGCACGTAGCTCCATCTGTTTGCAGTTTGTTGCATCTGAAGATATTACAATTTTTTGCAGATAGAGTTGAAGATAATGACTTTCAGAAACTTCAGAGTTTGTTGAGTTGGTTTTAATACTTGTTGGTTCTGTTTTTTTGTTTATTGTTTACCTTTAATTTTGTTATTTTATTTTCTCCAATATGTGTATCATGTTTCATATTCCAATTGGATTAATCTTAGGATTGTGAATGTGTATTTGTGCTCTCCACCGGCCTTTCAAGTGATAATTTTACCTTCTTGAATGTTTTTTTACTTCGGATAAATCTGTTACCAAAGGAGAAAGTTTTTTTTCTGGAGTTCTAACCAACACCACAACTACCGTCATCATCATCATCACCTACAACAAAATAACAACCACTACCTGTACCATCATTATCACCATCATCAGCATTTAGATTCATCTTTTCTACTCGCAATTTTACTTCTTTTTTACCTTTTTTTCTCTCTGCCCCTGTTTTTTACTTTTCCGTCATCATTATTTTCTTACCGTCACTTACAATTTGTATATTCATATTCATCTTTAATTGATGATTTGTGTAATTAATTTTAATATATTATGATTTGTTGATAATACACACTTTTATTTAAACGAAAACGTTTTTTTAAACTCCATATTTTCATTGTAAATGGATAAATTTCTTTCAACTTGTTGATCACAACGTTGATAAAGTCACAAGATGGTCATCGTTACAAGAGTATGTTTCACTTCCTTTATATTTTTATGGCATGTTTACTCATCTTTATTTACTCAATTTCAGGGTGATTACATATGGATTGAGCCACAATCCAAAAAAGAATTCGATGTTGCCATTGGAGCTCGTGTAATTGCTTCTGAAGGAAGGAAAATACAGGTTGAAGACGATGACAATCAGGTATGATATTAATAATTTTAATCAATGTTTCCTTTCATCATTTAGCTTGCCCTTTGATTAAGAGCTAACGTTTTTTATGTCATCCATGAAATCTTCGAGGGTAGAACAATTGTTTGAAAGGGAGAAAAGGTGAGAAGAAGAGAAAGAAGAGAGAGAGAGAGAGAGAGAGAGAGAGAGAGAGAGAGAGAGAGAGACAGGTAAAAGGAGAGAAAGATAAATTAAGGAAAGAGCATCTGTGCTGTTGTGTTTGCATAAATGAGTCTGCCGCTAAATACAGGGTGGAGGTTTGTCTGTTTTAGATATTTTCTCATGGGCTGGCCGTTGTCAGTATTTTTCATTTGAATTAGTTAGCTAAAGACAACTATGCCAGATAAAAATGCAAGAAGGAGAAAGAAGTAGGAGTTAGTCGAAAGGAAGTTGCCCTTTTGTCATTCTTTCAACCAATCTTTTGTTTCGTTTTGTTTTTCAGAAGCAATGGCTCACACCGGAACGGCGGATAAAAGCAATGCATCCAACATCAATTCAAGGGGTAGAGGATATGATTTCCCTGGGAGACCTTCATGAAGCTGGTATACTACGTAATCTTCTCATCCGATACAAAGAGAATCTCATTTATGTAAGCATTTCTTATTCCAGCTATCATCATCATCATCATCATCTTCAAAAACGATGTAGATGATATCCTTATTTCATCAGCTCAAAAAATTAGCTCACCACTTGTCTTACATTTCATACTGTCTTTCAATGTTGTGGGCATTTTAATCCTATTTTTATCATTCTTACACTCAGTATTTCATGTTAATTTATTTTACTTTTTTTGTTTTAAATTCTCTTGGTATCCAACAGACTTATACCGGTTCGATTTTGGTCGCAGTTAATCCATACCAAAATCTTCCAATCTACACGGATGAACAAATGAGGCTGTATAAAGAAAGAAAAATCGGAGAATTACCGCCGCACATATTTGCCATTGGAGACAATTCTTACAATAATATGCGTCGATTTCAGCAAGACCAATGTATTATTATAAGTGGTGAAAGTGGAGCTGGAAAAACTGAAAGTACAAAATTAATTCTTCAATATCTCACATATATAAGCAAACCAGCGCTTACAGGCTCAAAGTTTTTTGGACAAACTTCATGGGTTCAAAATCAAATTTTAGCCGCAAATCCTATTTTGGAAGGTAAATGTCCATTCAAGACACATACACATTTATACCCTTCAATTGTATTTAATCACAATTCATTCCATCTTCTGGACACACCCACACTTTTTACTCTTCTACTCACCTAAAGTTCACTTAAAACCAACCAACACGGGTTGAATTGAAAGGAGTAGAAGAAGGAAAAAGATCAAAAAATGGAATCAAGAATCTACGCATAAACATCTTCTCATTTACTCTAATTAAGATAGAAATCAGTTCTCACTAAATATGAAAAGGATTGCACCCATAAAAGTGGAAGAAGGAGAAAAAGAGAAGAAACAATTCGTTGAATGAGATGTTTGAAATTGCAATTACCAAAATACAAGTGTTCACTATTATTATCATTATTATTACATGACTTGACAACCGTATCGTACGCGATGGAGTTTATAAATTTTAATAGAAAAGAAAGGCTAATGGATCGTAGCTAGAACTTCTGATTCTTGTTTTTCCGCGTGGAAGGCTTCTTAGATAGTTTCATAATAATATTATTGTTATTGATTATGTCTAGCTTGTAAAATTGCTAATTATTTTTTTTCTCTCTCTTTTATTTTCAAGCTTTCGGAAACGCCAAGACAATCCGTAATGATAATTCATCTCGATTTGGTAAATACATTGACATTTATTTCAACAAACCCGGAGAAGTGGAAGGAGCCAAGATTGATCAATATTTACTTGAAAAATCTCGTATCGTTGGTCAAGCTCAAGATGAACGAAATTACCATATTTTTTACTGTATTCTTGCTGGAATGTCTAAAGAAGAGAAAATGGAACTTGAACTATCTGATGCTTCCAAATATTTTTACCTAACTCAAGGAGGTTGTATCACCTGTGAAGGACGTGATGATGCAGCAGAATTTGCTACAATCAGAATGAATCTACAAATAGTCGAATTTACTCAATATGAAGTTCGGGAAATTTACAAAATTCTGGCCGCTCTTTTACATATCGGAAATATCAAATATAAAGGTGAGCCCAAAATCCAGGTTGGATAAAGAAACTGTCAAAACAAGAGCAATTCTTGATTCCTTTCAACTTGACCATCTTTAAATGTTATTTGAAGAGTTTTATAAACCATAATTTACACACTTTGACGGTCACATACACATCCATGTATGTGGATAATATCTTCATTATATTACCTCCAATGGAAGTAAAAAATTGAAATCATGATTACACATGCCGAGTAGTCCATCAAAAATTGACTTCTCAATCATTTTCCACGTTTTGAGTAGTTTCTTTCATTTCTCAGTCAGTTTCCTCGCCATCATGTTTCTAGTTTTACTTTTTGTTTTCTCATTCACTGTTCATGTTGAGATGATAACTTCACTATCTTCCTCTCTTCCTCTCTCTCTCTCCTTCTCTCTCTTTCTCTCATTCTTGTTTTCAATACTTGATTCCTTAAACTTTAACTTTTTAGTTGTTTGTGTCTGTTCAAGGGTTGCCTGTTAATTGTTTAGACCGGGTTCATCACACACTCACGATCATCTTTCATCCCTTTCTTTTCCTCTTTCTCTCTTTGTCTACCTGGACATCGTTTTTTATAAACAGGTCATTTAATCTAGCACTTAATTTAGAACAGTTAGCAAATATTCGCGTAATTATTTTATAAGCTAATATAACTTTACCTTGTCTTATCGTTCTCATTTTGTTTTCTGTAATTTTGTATACAATACTTTGTGTGTGTGAATGATGAAAAATAATTTACTTCTTATGTGATTAAAGTAAAGGAAGACACATGAGAAAAGGTTGACTATACATTAACCATTTTCTTGCCTTTTTGTCTTAAACAGCTAAAGTACAATTTAACTCAATCTTCTGTCCTTCCGTTCGTCCTCATAACCTTAAACTTGACCTTAAAATTGAAGCCACTGACCACTTTCAATATCACAAATCATTCATCCACTAACAAATCAAAAGTGACAAAAAGATAAAACTAAATTCTTAAGGTAATAAGTTTCATAGGAAAGCTGAAAAAAATTTCAGTCCTGTGATGATTCCATCTAGATTAGCACCAAAGAAACTGGTTTGGTTTCCTCAAAACAAAGATATTCACCTTTTTTTACTCAGCATTTTATGCTCTATTGAATTAAAGACAATATATATATCATTCAGTTTATTATATTTACCTTTCCAACAAAGATAACAATATTATTGTTTAAATCAATATTCTTAATGGCAATACAGTTTTACATCCTCACCATAAAGTTTAGTTAATAACCGCATATACAAAAGTCGAGTATCAATTTTTCAAACCTTGATATTCATCATCTTATCATCACCATCTTTGTTGAAGTTTTTTGATTTTTGTTGGTTTTTGTTGAAGTTGTTTCTCCTCGGTTAACCAGCCTAACCCTACAAACCACCCTTGAAACGTAACCATACACATAAATATAGTCAAAAAGCCACAAAACCGAAAATTTTTTCTTTGTTTTTTTCACTATTTCAAGTCATTTTTATGCTCAATAGTGCTTCTCCATCTAACTCAAAACCTACTGAATAGGGTTGCCCCTTTAACTCATCCTTTTTCATTTTTGCAGTAGTCTTTAAGTTATAACAAACCATGCAGTTAAAACTACTCTTTATCGAAAGCAGGGAAACTGAAAATCAAACAAGAATTGATTATCCAATGTTGATGGTTAAATAAAGGCAAACTAAGTTTCTGTTTTGATATAAATGGCCAATAAAAATCAGGGAAATTGCTTCATGAATTTACTTTTTTCCGCAATTCTTGTGAGCAAAGTTGGATCATTTGTCAGTTTTCATCAAATACTATTACTGCCATTGTTTATTAAATCATAATATACACAATGATTATGATTATTTTTGGTCGTGCATATTGTTTGAGTTTATCATTTCAAAGTCAACAGCCTTTCTTTTTCAGCTCAGGAAGTTACATTTCTTATTCAATGCTAACGTCAACAACAAAAACGTTAACTTCGTAATGAATTTACTCTTTCATGTTTTCTGAAAATTTTTCATTCTCTGACTGGTAGTGTTTCTTATCTGTAGTTTTTACTCTTTCTGGTTACAACCAAACTGGTTAACAAACTCTGGTTTTTAGGTTTTATTTTGATCCTTTTTTATTTTCCCTTTCATTATAACAATTTAACTATTCAGGGAACAAGTTTTTCAGTTTTCATCTTGATGCTCATCAACATTATCGTCAAGAAATTGAAGTGAAAGAAAACAAGAAAAGTCATTCCAATAAATTCAGAATAAAGTTACCAATCACAATCTTTATTATCTCATTCAAAGTTAATTCTTTTGTTCATGATTGGTTTTGAAATGAAACTTTAAACCTTCACTAACTGCTACAACAGCAACTCACAAGTTAAGCTTGGTCAGTCACTGATGATGATGATGATGATGATGTTCATCATAAAATGACGCAAAAATCATTTTTAACCTCTTACAACAATTCACAATGATTTGGCTTTTTTCTAGGCCAAATCTGAAGACCTTTCATTATTATCATTTTCATAATGACGATTCATTGAAAATTGAGCTATAAATTGAAATAATATGAGTCTTTAATAAATTCCTTTACTAATGAAACAGGGTGTAGTCAGTCGATGACTTGTTCTCATTCATCTTCTCATCTTAATATAAAATTTGAATCTTTCAATTCAATTGTTCTTACTCATCAAACATTGATCCAACATTCAACTTTCAACTTGCTTAAAAATACAACAATCAGCCTAATGATGTATTTAAGCTAAATATTGATGACATCTTGGTGTTCAATTTTTCCTTCAAAATTCAACACTTTCTAGCTTCACTTATGACTATTGGAGTACATCAAATTGATATAAGCCGATGATGGCTTTTAAAGTAACAGTAAAATTTTATTGAAATCTGCTTTTCTATTCATTGAAAACCTGTTGAAGACTCATTCAATGTAGATGTAAATTAATCTTGTCATGATTTGAGTTCTCGCTTTCATTAATTTCATCAGTAGTTCAAATTATTGTATCATTGAATCGACAAAAAAAGGTTGACTTTCTCTCTTATCATGAAACCTTACTTTATGAATAGTTTCTAGCTACTTTCAGTCAGATCATAAAAAAATAAGATTAACTTATGGCTTCCCTTTATATCATGAAATTTATTACATAACATATTTTATGATATTTACTATCAATGTCATGATGTTGTACCTTTAATTGATACTCTTTTGAAATCAGATCTGATTTAGATACATTTTATAGCAATTTTTAACATTCTGTGTCAATAAACTACCAAAAAATATTAATTTGATTTACACTTTTTCTTGCCTTTTATCATTCAAAAACTAATAAACTTTATTTTCTACTCTTATTTATAGCTACAATTGTTGACAATTTAGATTCCACTGAGATAACCAATGCTGGAAGTGCATTAAGTGCTGCTAAATTATTAGAAGTTAATCATCAACATTTAATGGACGCACTAACCACAAGAACTATCTTTGCTCATGGAGATACGGTTGTATCTCGGATGAGCACTTCTCAATCATTGGATGTACGAGATGCGTTTGTCAAAGGAATCTATGGACGAATGTTTGTTTGGATTGTCAACAAAATCAATGCCGCTATTTACAAACCTAAATCAAGTGTAAATCATTATCGAACCTCAATCGGTGTTCTCGATATTTTTGGCTTTGAAAATTTCAACATCAATAGTTTTGAACAGTTTTGCATAAATTATGCAAATGAAAATTTGCAACAATTTTTTGTTAAACACATCTTCAAACTGGAACAAGAAGAGTACAATCATGAAAGCATCAATTGGCGTCACATTGAATTTGTTGATAATCAGGAAGCTTTAGATCTGATTGCGGTTAAACCATTAAACATTATGGCTTTGGTTGACGAAGAATCTAAATTTCCCAAAGGAACAGATAAAACGTTGCTGCACAAGTTACACCAAACTCATGGTGTTAATGGAAATTACCTTCAACCCAAATCATATGTCAACTCTTCTTTTGGAATCAATCACTTTGCTGGTGTCGTTTTTTATGATACCAGAGGGTTTCTCGAGAAAAACAGAGACACATTTAGTGCTGATTTGATTCACTTGATTCAAGTGAGCAAAAATAAATTTCTCCAATCGTTATTTATCCAAGACATTGGTATGGGTACCGATACTCGGAAAAAGACGCCAACTTTAAGTGCCCAATTCAAACGATCTTTAGATTCATTGATGCGACAGCTTAGTCAGTGTCGTCCATTTTTCATTCGTTGCATTAAACCCAATGAATTTAAGAAACCTAATATATTTGACCGTGAATTGTGCTGTAAACAATTGAGATACTCTGGAATGATGGAAACCATTCGGATAAGGCGAGCAGGTTATCCTATACGGCATACTTTTGCTGAATTTGTTGACAGATACCGGTTTCTTCTTAATGGAATTGAGCCGGCCCACAAGATACACGATTGTAGGCCAGTTGTTGCCCGTATTTGTGCACAAATTTTAACTAGCAAAGCAGACTATCAGTTAGGAAGAACCAAAGTGTTTCTCAAAGATGCCCATGACTTGTTTTTAGAGCAAGAGAGAGACCGAGTGTTGACCAAAAAAATTTTAACCTTACAACGGGCCATCAAAGGATGGTATTATCGTCGCAAATTTTTACGTATGCGAACCAGTACCATTATTATTCAACGCTTTTGGCGTGGTTACATTCAACGGAAACGCTATCAGGCCATGAAAACTGGTTACCAACGTTTACAAGCTCTTATCAGATCTCGAATATTAACCAATCGATTTAAGCTGCTTCGTGGCCATATTGTTGCTCTACAATCACGATGTCGAGGTTATTTGGCTAGGCGAGAGTTTAATAAAAGATATTGGGCTACTATAAAAATTCAAGCCTTTATTCGTGGAGCTATTCAGCGAAGACGCTATGCCAAGATGAAATTGGAATTTAGGCAAAAAATGGAAGCTCTAGAATTAAGGTTACAAGAGGAAGCTCATTATCGTAAACAAATGAATCCACAGAAGGCTAAAGAAATAGCTGAGGTTAACTATTTGCAGCGACTTAAAAAGCTTGAGATTCAACAGCAAGAAGAAGAGATTATCGGAAAGAAAATTATTGAAGAGAAAAAAGCAGTGATCACTGATGCAGTTCATCGACAAGATGAAGCTTTAGATGATTCAAAGTTGGTTGACGCCATGTTTGACTTTCTTCCAAGAACAGAAACATCCAGTGAGAACATGATTCCAAGTGCATTTAAAGATCTTGAGAAACACCGAGGCGAACAGGTATCTGATGGAGAACCTGAAAATATAATTCCAGTACCACACGAGGACCATGAAGATTTATCTGAATATAAATTTCAAAAGTTTGCCACAACATACTTTCAAGGAAATGCTAGTTACTCTTACCAAAGGAAACCAATTAAACAACCTTTACTTCCTTTACCCACTCAAGGAGATTGTATGGCAGCGGTGGCCCTTTGGATAACAATTTTACGGTTCATGGGAGATTTGGCTGAACCCAAATTTCACACAATGGCTCGTGACAATACTAGTGTAATGACTAAAGTATCTGCAACTTTAGGTCGTAATTTTATCAAATCCAAAGAGTTCCAGGAAGCTCAAGCCATGGGTTTAGAAATGGAAGCAAGCGAAGCCAGACCCGCAAAGCGTAGCATTCGTAACAAATTAGTTTCCCTTACTTTAAAGAAAAAGAATAAATTGAGTGAAGATGTTCGAAAGCGTCTCCAAGAGGATGACATTGCCGCAGATACTTATTCAAGTTGGCTTGAAAGTCGACCCACTTCAAATCTGGAGAAACTTCATTTCATCATCGGCCATGGTATTTTAAGAGAAGAACTTAGAGACGAAATTTATTGTCAAATATGTAAACAACTTACTGACAATCCAAACAAAAGTTCACATGCTCGTGGTTGGATACTTCTTAGTTTGTGCGTTGGATGTTTCGCTCCATCATCTAAATTTGTTAAATATTTGCTCAACTTTATTAGGGAAGGTCCACCAGGTTATGCACCATACTGTGAAGATCGACTTCGCCGAACCTTTGCCAATGGTACCCGAGGTCAACCTCCATCATGGTTGGAACTGCAAGCAACTAAGTCAAAAAAACCTCTCATGCTGCCAATCACTTTTATGGATGGTAACACAAAGACTCTTCTCGCTGACTCGGCGACCACCGCTCGTGAACTGTGCGCACAATTATCGGAGAAAATTGCTCTCAAAGATCAGTTTGGTTTCTCTCTTTACATTGCTCTATTTGACAAGGTTTCCTCCCTTGGAAGTGCTGGTGAACATGTAATGGATGCCATCTCTCAATGTGAACAATATGCCAAAGAACAAGGCGCTCAAGAACGAAACGCGCCTTGGAGACTATTTTTCCGTAAAGAGATTTTTGCTCCTTGGCATGATCCAACGGAAGATACAGTGGCAACCAATTTAATCTTTCAACAAGTTGTCCGTGGAGTTAAATTTGGTGAATATCGGTGTGACAAAGAGGAAGATTTGGCAATGATTGCTGCTCAACAGTATTACATTGATTTTGGTGATGAACTTGTTCCTGATAAGTTAATCACCTCTTTGCCAAATTACATTCCAGATCATTGTTTCCAAACAAATGAAAAAAATATCGAAAGATGGGCCAACCTGATAGCAAATGCTTACAAAAAGGTACTCAATTTACTTTTCTATTTTCAAATAATTTTTTCCCTTCAATCTTTTTTTCCTTCTTTAATTTCACTTTAATTCCGAAAAGGTTGATCAAACTGGTTTGCCAAAGTAACCATCCTAATCATCCCACTTAGTTGCATCTCTTTGCTTTCTTGACCTAGCAAAATCAAAAAGATGTGATAGATTCCACCTTAATCAAGATAATTGAATTACTCATAGGAGATGTTTAAAAGATGTCCAAAAAATGTCGTTCCAAAATGGTTAATTAATGTTATTTGAATCCAGCCTCTTATCCAGAAATAGTATTATTATCTAATTGATTATTCGATTAAATGCAAGAATCTCATTAACAGGGCAAAAAATTATCCATTATTTACAATTAGTTTCAAATTTACTATTCATTGTTGAAAAATTTTCATTCCTCTCCACCTCTTTTGGCCATTTTATTGTAAATTTAGTTCGTTTATTATAATAACAACCACCTATTTTAAAATCAAGATCACGGCCAGAGTTAAGACTTAGTATCTAATTTTCATCTTCATCATTTCTTCCCATCATTATTAAAACCTTTAATACTACATTTTTCATCATCATAATCATCATTTTGCTTTTTCTTTCTGACAGAGCTACTATTATCGCGAAAGGGTTTCACCACTAAAAGTTAAAGAAGATGTTGTTGAATATGCTAAATTCAAATGGCCACTTCTATTTTCCCGATTTTATGAAGCACTTCGAGTAACTGGTCCACCTCTTCCTAAAAATGATGTGATTGTTGCCATTAATTGGACAGGAATCTATTTTGTAGACGATCAAGAACAAGTGCTACTTGAATTATCATTCCCTGAAACAACATCAGCTCAAAGCGAGAAAAGTGCCAGACCATTTATGCAAAACTTCAGCATAACAACCATTCGTCGAGAAGAGTTTGTCTTCCAATCGCCCAATTCAGCAGATATTTGTGATTTAGTTAATTTCTTTTTAGATGGTCTCAAAAAACAATCCAAATTTGTAATTGCAATTCAAGATTACAAGGGTGAAGGACAATCTACTTTGACTTTTAATCAAGGAGATTTGTTGATATTAGACGATGGTTATACCGGCGAGCATGTTATGAAGAGCGGTTGGGCTGTTTGTAAGCTTGAAAAGAGCGGAGAAAAGGGCGATGTTCCAACTGAATACATTTACGTATTACCTACAACAACTAAACCACCAAATAATATATTATCTCTTTTCACGGAAGACATTAATTTCACCGATACCATGAATGGACGCAATGGCCTATCATATGGACAAATGAATGGCTTTGATAGCCACGAGAAACCTCATACCCTAGAAGAATACGCATTAGATCATTTCAGAGCTCCTCCTAAGCATACTTTACCTCGAACTTTAACATTCTCATCAGCGAGACGTCGAAATAATGACCAGCTTTGGCGCCATTCAAGAGAACCAATTAAACAGCCACTTTTAAAGAAGCTACTTAATAAAGAAGAGTTCAATCAAGAAGCTTGTTTTGCATTCAATGCTATTCTCAAATATATGGGCGATTTACCTTCTCGACGAACTCGCAGTGGAAATGATCTGACTGATCAAATTTTTGAAGGACCACTTAAATTTGTACGCATTTTAAATTAATTTCCCATCTCATTCACTCCTATCCTCTTATTCAATTACCTAATAATCTATTCACTCATCTAATAATCACCATTTTACTCTTTTTTTTATTCCTTTTAATTTATTTGCATACACTCATTGAAAACTTGTAGGATATACTTAGAGATGAAATTTATTGCCAAATTATGAAACAACTGACAGATAACAAGAACAGGTTTGTTACTATTTATTGTTTGTTTTTTATTCTGGTTAACTTGCTTCTTCTTTTTCTCCTACTTCTTGTTTCGCATACAATTACAAGCTGCTCAACCAGATTTCTTGTTGGTCTTGTATTATTGAAAGAAGTGCACCAAAAAATGAAACAAAACTAAATTCTTTTTTTTCCTGTACCCAATTTTTTTCAGGTTAAGTGAGGAAAGAGGCTGGGAACTTATGTGGCTAGCAACGGGACTTTTTGCACCAAGCCAAATATTACTTAAGGAATTGATGCTTTTCCTGCGTACCCGACGTCATCCTATTGCCATAGACTGCTTACAACGGCTACATAAAACGCTAAGAAATGGCCAGCGAAAATATCCACCCCATTTAGTTGAGGTTGAAGCTATTCAACACAAGACAACTCAAATATTTCATAAAGTCTATTTTCCTGATGATACGGATGAGGTACTTAATGACATTTATTACTTCTCTATGTCATTAAATTGACTAGTCTTTAAATCTTCTTATTATCATCTTTTGTGTCAAATATCCTGTCCTCATCTTCATACTTTAATGATTCATTAATGTCTTTCTTCTTCTTTTTTATCCTTAGGCTTTTGAAGTCGATTCAAGTACCCGAGCCAAGGATTTCTGTCTCGATATTGCTCAAAGATTGAATCTCAGATCAGCTGAAGGATTCAGTTTATTTGTTAAGATTGCAGATAAAGTAATCAGTGTTCCCGAGGGTGACTTCTTTTTCGATTTCGTGAGACATTTAACGGATTGGATAAGGAAAGCCCGACCATCTAGAGACGGTAATACCATAGGTTTACATTAGACAGGAATTTGATGGCAACTAATTATTACAGCCAGACTTGATTTTATTTGAAAGGCTTTTAACCTGTAATTTGGGAGTGTTGATAATATTAATCAAACTTTCCCTTCAGCAACCATTTTTAAAACATTAGTTTGATTGATTGAGTCATTAACAACTTAAGCAATGACTTAAGACTTTTAAATATTCATATTTCCCATGCTCATGTGATATGACCAGAAACATTAGTGTTAATACCATTATCAGTGTTAACCATTGAATATTAATTTCTCAAATTTTTGAATTTTTCTTTGATTTTAATGGAAATATTTTATTTCTTTTTTTCCTCCGTTTAGTTGGTTCCATACCTCAATTTACTTATCAAGTATTCTTCATGAAAAAGTTATGGACTAATACGGTTCCAGGAAAAGATGTAAATGCCGATATAATCTTTCACTATCATCAAGAATTACCTAAATTGCTTCGTGGTTACCATAAATGTTCAAAAGAAGATGCTGTTCGTTTGGCAGCCAACATATATCGAGTCAGATTTGGTGAAAGCAAAAATGAACTTCAATCAATACCTAATATCTTACACGAATTAGTTCCAGCTGATTTAGTCAAAATTCAACCACCAAGTGAATGGAAAAAGGTAAAGCGATGATTTTAAACGGAATTAATATAAGGTTGAAATGTTTACCACGCAATTGTAAAGCAAGTGTCAATTGGTCTTGAATGATTTGATGCTTAAAACAGTCAATATCAATTAAATTGGTAGGTTTAAGTTAATAATTTTGGAAGGATTGGCAGTTTAATTAATGCTTTTAATATTAATCGATTTAAATTGAACTAAAGTTATCTTAACTCAAAACTGTCATATAATTTGATTAGCTGAAATTGTTACAAAGATGATCGGTTATACTTTGAAAGTTGATTTCAAAGTATACAAACCCTGTATCTAATTGATCGACAATCAAATGTTTAACCCAAAATTAGGCATTAATTATAACAATTAGTGCCGCTCAATGGTAATGATAATGAAAGATTTTGAATCATCACTCTAATTTTCCATAACAACACTTTTATGTTTGTTGTTTTATTCAGCAAATGTAACAAACTTAATAGCATTGATCTTTCAATCCTTAATTATTTTAGTGATTGCTTTCTGGTTTTAGTTATTCTCATTATTCCAACCCTTCTGGTTATGAACTAATTGAATTATTATCATCAGTTTTAAATTGAGCTTTTATCTGTTATTGAATTTCGATAGCTTTTCCTGGCTTACTTGCTATTTAAAGACTGCATTTCATTGATGTAATTTCAATCACAATCATTATTGAACTTTTGAATTATGATTATTTTTTTCTATAATTGTTTAATCATTTGTTCATTAAAACTAAAGATACATGTTACTCTCGTCTTAAATCAGCTAATTAATTTCATTCCACATTTAAAAATGATAATAATTCACCAATCAACATGATTGATATGAATTGAAGTTAACTAACTGACTGTAATTTCAATGCTTATATTGAAATTGTTATCATGATTGAAGGCTTTAAATAGCAAAAATAGTAAATTCTTGTTATATTTTTGTAGCCATAATACAAAATTGTAGTTATAATGTAAGAAAGCAAAAGCTTGATTGTCTAAAGATTTTCAACAATTTACTTTGCCTCATTATCCTGTCATCTTAATCACCAACTAAAAATTGATTCAGATCATGTATCTGGTTCATGTTACTTTGAAATTAATAAATAAACGATTATGATATTATTGCCAATTGATGAGGTTATGGATGATTTGTAATCAGCTATCAAACTGAAGCATATTATCCTGTAAGGTGTGGCGCAAATCAATGATGAAAACTTGTAAAAACATATTGATTTCCAGATAATGAACTCAGAATTTCTAAATTTTTCTATTATTAGCAATATGCTGTCTGTTGCTTCTCAAAGATAATTACAAATCAATATAGTCTAGAGAATAAACTGAATTACAATTTGATTAAACATTTCAATGTTTGCTTTACTCAATACTTCAATTAAACTAATTTTTTCCCTTTTTTCTTTCTCCACAGCAAATCATTCAATATTATAATCAAGATGCTGGCATGACCCCTGAAAATGCAAAAATCGCTTTCCTCAAGTACGTCTACAAATGGCCCACCTTTGGTTCAGCATTTTTTGAAGTTAAACAAAATGGTGACACCAATTTCCCTGAACATCTTCTCATTGCAATCAACAAGCATGGAGTCAGTCTTATTGATCCTGTTACCAAAGATATCCTAATTACCCATGCATTTACCCGAATATCAAACTGGAGCAGTGGAAATACATATTTCCATATGACAATAGGAAATCTGGTTCGAGGAAGTAAACTTCTCTGTGAAACACCATTGGGATACAAAATGGATGATCTTTTAACGTCTTATATAAGCTTGATGCTGAGCAATATGAACAAAACTCGAGTGAAATAATGAATCAACCGAAGCAACCAATCTATGGCGTGAAGCTGGTGAAACATGCATTGATCACTTTTTATGGAAAATTTTAGTTGATGTTTTATTATTTAATTTAATTCCTGATATTATTACGACCCTTTTTACAATAATTATTAATTATTTCGTAAATTTCCATCCAGAATTAACATTCTGTTTTGGGCAGCTAAACTTAACGAATCACGTCAATATGGAAATGACAACATTTCAAATGGAATCCAATTCATCTTCAAGATTACTTAAAAATTTATAATGGAATCCATTTATCAAGATAATTACCAACATTCCCACAGCTTTAAATTGCTGTGAAGCACAGATTGGCAAAAATTGATGAAATCAATGAATATTATTAGCCTGAAAATTCATTTTCCATTTTCAAAATCTCAACATTCCAAAAGCTATGATAACAACAAAGAAACTCATAAACCATTACCAGAATCCAGGAAGCTGAATAATTGGTACTCTATAAATCATTCTGATCCCAAATTTCCAATAATCATGGATAATTTATAAAGTGGAAAAACATAGACAATTTAAAAGAAAACATTTTGTTGTAAATCAATTTTCAGCTTCTATGAAAGCATTTTTTTAGGATAAAATAATTTATTAAATCTCATATTGTGTTGATTTAATATGCAAACATATTACCGTGACAACATCAACAAAAGGTTGAAATGTTTTGTTAACAATTGACAAGTTACAAACAAAATTGATCATTCATCTCTTTATTTATCAGTCCTTTGTGATTTACCTGAAACTCCTCTTTTGACCTTTCTTGTCATTGTACCATAATCGGTCAAGTGTCCAACATTTTATCCCCCTTTTTACCTTTCCTATGGGTAAAGGTCAAGGCCGTACGTGATGATCCATTTTACTATACTTTTACTGGCCATTGTATGAAGGATAGTCCGGATATTGGTCAGTGATGATGATTGTTCATTGTAATAGTTCACCAAATCACTTAACACAACTACAAAGTTATTTTCATGGAAAGGGAAAAAATATTGTTTACAAAAAAGCTACTTTCATTGAAAAGTTTTCCAGTCTCATTGATTTTGAAGATCATCGATATTATTATACATTCATACATTGAACACATTATTTGACTGTTTGTTGACCATTCAAACTGATTTGACCAAATCTCATTGTGTTCGCAAAGAAAGTGGAAAAGTAAAAGCTAAGATTTTTAAAGGTTAAGATGAAAACCAACCTTCGAAAAATATGGTCCGATTTTGAATTAAAGAGGAACCATATTTTATCAATTGGTCGATTGTTAATTCAGATCTGGCTTTTTAAGTGGTGATTGATCGATCTAATACAATTGACATTCATTTAAACACAGTTTCCGTTCATTTTATGCTATCAATTTCATTACTCAAGTCCAACAAGTACAAGTGGACAAGATATAATGTCTTGTGATATAGATTTGAACCCATTTTTTGTACCATTTGCACAATTTCAACAGTTTTTGAGATTAATCAAAGAAATGAAATGTATTAAGATCAAAATTCAAAATGTGAATTTAAATTATCATTTGATGATGAGATTACAAAGTGTATTGAATAAAAACTAATGAAGGTTGAAACATCTAAGTGTTACATTTTATGTCTTCCATTTGTGCTAATGACGCGAAGTTGTTGTGTATTTACTTGTCGCTAATTTGGCCAAATTTTTGCTTCGTCCATTTATTCTGTTCAATTGTTCTTGTAATTTTCTCGATTTACTTTTCTCTTTTTCCAATTCTTCCACTAAACTTTGAATTCGATCATAAGCTTCTTGTTTACATTCTTCCAATTCTTTATAGCATTTCTCCAAAGCGATTCGTAACTCATCAGCTTGAACTTTCCTATTTAAACTAACGGGATCCAATGGAATTGTTTCACGAACCAAGGATTTCTCTTCGATCAGCTTAGCCATTTCCCGTTCATAATTTTCATGAGTTTGCTGGATTAAGGTTTGCAATTGTTGAATGGCAATCTCTTTCTGGTCAATCCTTTTTTGTAAACATTGAATTATCGTTTCTAAAACCTTTGGAATAGCTTTGTTTGTTGTCTTATGTTGTTGATCAACTTGTTTGGCATAATTGACATCTACATCGAGTTGAACTTCGATGTCATCTTCTTTAGCATTTGTCTGTTCAACTTCGTTTTCTTTTTTGGCCTTTTCATTCTTCTTCACCAGAAACTCGTCCTTTTGCATCAACAGTTGGTTGTATTTTTCCTTCCATGATTGAATGTGTTCATGAAGTGCATCATTTTCTTTCCTTGCCAGGTCAATTTGTTCAACGTAATGAATCTCTGATTCAGCAATGCTTTCTCCAAGTCTTTCAATTTGCTCTTTAATTTCCATTACAGCAATCAACAACTTTGAACATTTCGTACACTTTTTATCATCTTGTTCAGTCTGTACAGACACATTTTGATATGTTTTTTTAGTCTCCAAACCATCAAATGTTTGAGACTCTTTGTCCAATTGTAATGGCCTTTGTTCAGGTGAATCAATTTCTTGGCTCATGCCTGATTCATCATCCGATTGCATATTAGAATCACCATTGACTTTGTCTTCTTTAAGGTTTTCATCTGAAGAAGCATCATCAATGCCAGTCACAACTACCTTTTCAGTGATTGGCTTTGGTTCATCCATTGGTTTTTGATTAACATCAAGACTAGTTTCAAATATTTCATCCAAATCATGACTTGAATCCTCTTGATTTAACTTCCCATCACCACTGACAATTAGAGTTGGTGTTGATGTAGTTGACGTGGTTGTGATTGTTGTTGAATCTTCATCACTTTCACTTTGTTGATTAATGTGACTGTTTTTATTTTCACAGTTGTTCGGCTTGCAATTATTTGAATGTCTACATTGATTGTCTAAAATTTCATTGGCATATTCACCGATTAATTTAAGATGCTCATGTCGAAGGCATTTCAATTCCATTCTCAACTGTTCATTGTGTCCTCGAAGTAAATCAAGTTCAGCCTTTAATGCAATCACATTGGTTAAATCAGCAGATAATGATCGACCTTCCAACAAGTTGACTAACCGTTCCAAACTCGGACAGTCAATTACAACATCTGACTGTGAATCTGATTCCCGAAGGCCTAACAAAATCTCCTTCATTCCCATTTGTAATTCACGATTCTCATCTTGCAATGTTTCCAAATGAGTAATCATTTTAGATCGCTCTTCGTCCGATTTTTTGTCATTAACATTGACTTGCGTTCCTGGCTTAGGAGACATTGACCTCATGGATCTCAATTTTTCTTGTAAGGCAATCTTTTCATCTTCGAGTTTGATTATCGTCTGTTGAAGACGCAAAATTTTCAAACGATCATCTGTTACTTCAGGAAGAATCTTGTGTGTATCAATTGCCTCCAAACCAGTCAATGATCCACCCATTTCTTTGAGAAAATCCAATTGATCTTCATACGAATTTAATTTTATACTCAATTGATTAAGATCTTGTATTGCCTCTTCCAAATGTCGTTCCTTGGTTAACAATTGTTTCTTTAATGATTTAACTTCATTTAGTGCTTCAGACAGTCCATATTCACCTCGTTCATACGCAGTCTTCATCATTGTTACTTTAAGAAGCTCATCATCTTTAGTCTTTAGTTCCTCCTCCAATTTATCAATCTTATCTCGCATTTGATTCAGCTGTAAGTAAATACATAAATTGTTATTAAATTTCAAATAAATGTTTCTAAATGTTGAGATAATTCGTGATATTTAATTTACTTACTTGATCTTTTAATAGTTCACTTGCATAGACATCGGTGTTCACTTCTCCTTTTTTTGTCAATTTTTTAATCAATTCATTTTGTCCTTGAATTGTGGTAACTGCCTCAGCTAATTGTTCCTTAAGATAATCAATTGTTGAGCTTTTTTCAGTCAGTTCTTGTTGTAATAAAGATGATTTGTCTGATATAACACCTAATGTTGGTTTCGATCCAAATGAGTTTGCTTTACGACCCTCCAAAGTCTCGATGATTTCCTCTTTTTCCCTAACCATTTCAACCAAGGCATCTATTTTTTGATTCAATTGTCCGACTAAAGTGTCATTTTTATCATGAATTGAATCCAATTCTTTTCTCAATGAATTGTTTTCTTTCAGCAAATATTCTTTCTCCTTAATCAACATTTCATTCATCTCTTGTGATTCACTGCAAGAAATTCTGATCGCTTCCATTTCATCAGCTGCTGATCTAACCTCATTGGTAGCAAGGGACAATTGATCCTTCAGTGTTTTCACCTGATTAGCAAGTTCAACATTAGCTCTTTCCATCAGATCCAATTCATCGAGTAAACTCTGAATTTGCTTATTTTTCTCTCGTAACTTTTCCAACGGTTCAGCTGATTCAGCAATCGAGTTCTGTAACCCATGTTGACGACTTTCCATTTCTTCCTTTAGAGATTCAATCTCATCTTGAAGGCTTTCAATCTCCTTTTCATTGACCGAAAGTTTAGTTTCGAGATCACCTGTTCATAAAAGATAACCAATAAATGTTTGAAAAAAAGACTAAACCAAATTAAAATTTACTTACCAACACGTCTTTTTGATCTCATCAGCTCATTGTTTTTAGCCTCTAGAGTATCTTTTAAATCGCGAATTTGATTTTGATAATCTTCTATCTGATTCATTGGATCAACACCATGTTGATTAACCAATGTTGATTTGTATAAATCAACTTGCTTCCGAAGACTTTCCAATTCATCTTTGTCACTTTTTTTAATGAACTCTTCGAGCTCTTCAACTGCTACATCGGCTTGTAATGCTTTCACTTGCATAACGCATTTGGCAGCTTTAAAGGCACTTCGCAATAAATCAATATTTGATTCATCCTCGGGATTGATCTGGTAAACAGAAGAAAATATTTATTTATAAAGATTCCATTTTAATTGATATTTTTAAATATTAATAAATTGTGACTGATGTTTATTAATAATAAATTATTATTTGTGTGAAAAAAATGTTATTATTTGAAAACTTACCTCAATCAATTGATCATATAAAAGCTCAGCCTTTTCATCGTTCAGATCATCAAGATTAACATTGACTATTAAATCCCAGTCAGTCATTTTGCACAATTAAGAAATGAATTGCAAACAATATATTAAAATGAATAAAATTAAATTAGATTTACATTGGATGGGCACATGATGTTGATCAAAGTTAATGTTTACAAATTTTATATTTGTAATTTTCTCATGGTTACATAGAAACCGTTGTTAGGATTGACTATTAGGGCGATCATGCGGTAGTTGACTCGAAGTCTGGAATATTAGATGAGGATAACGCTAGTTATTATGATCACTCTTTACCAAAGAGACTGGCTACTGTGAGACGTGCACAGAGGCCAGTTTTAGCCCATTTTAGGCCACTTGTAGATTTTAAACTTCATTTGCCGAAAGCTATGATTTTTGCCTAGCATATTCAATCCTCGAGGATGGGCCAAGTTTCATCAAGATCTGAAGTGTGGATCAAACCGTAAAACAGATACAAGGATCAAGTTAAAAATGGATTATATTGATTAACAATTATGATCGGGTTCCTTGCGATCATATAATTTCTTAACCGTTAATCGTTGAAGATCAGCTTTTGGTTTTCTTAGCAAACCTTCAGGTAATGATTTTGTTTGAGAAGTAAAAGATGAGTTGGTGGAATGATTTAATAAAAAAATATCAGATTATAGCGAGTTGTTACAATTAATGATTTCAAGATTCACAGCTGTCTAATTGACTAGAGCTTTATTATCAATAAATAAGTTTCTTAAATACTTTGATATTTCCTGTTTTTTGATTGTTGATTGCAACAATGAGTCGTTTTGGTATCCCAATTTGATAAAGATTGGGAATCAAAAGTGTTAGTATATTACATTAAATTATTGAGATAATGTTAGAGTGGCTAGAAAAGTCGGTGAAATATGTGTCGTTGAGCATATTCAATAAAACTGGCTTTTCTTCATTTTGTCCAAAAGTATCATTCCATAACAAAATGGTACAAATCAAGCTATATTATACAAAAACAAATATGAGCTGAGATCATCAGGCAACATGAATATCACCTGATTGACGTCTTGCATTAGCGCGAGTAAGAATTGTTTCAGCTTCAGCAATATCACTAGGCATTTCAAGACCACGAGTTTCAGGTAATAATACAATTAAAGCTCCATTAATGATGGAGAGGCTGCCAAAAATTGATAATGATACACCAATGGATGTAAAAGCGGTCTAAATAAATAAAAGCAAAAATAATTAACAATGATTTCGTTATTGTAAACATTTGTACTTACTAATTCTTTAACAAATGGAGCAATAATACAACCAAATCGTGCGGCTATTGAACATGAAGCAAGTCCACTTTGGCGTAAAACGGTGGGATATATTTCAGATGCATAGACGTAGCAGAGAGTGAAGGAGGATGTAACACAAAATTTGCCTATCATTGCCAAAAAGACTCGAATATTGGTATCAGCTGGTGAGAGAAAGAATACCGTTGAAAGGCAGGATAGACCTGCACCATTCATGAAGTAGATTAAAAGTGTTTTCCTTCCGATATGTTTTAAGGCAAATGAGGTGATAATATAACTGGGAAATTCAACTAATCCGGCAAGGAAAAAGCTGATGAAAAGATTGCCATTGAGATCACCAATATTAAGGGATAAACCATAGTATACAAAAGCATTTACAAAATATGAAAAGTATAAAACAAGGCTAAATTTTTTCAATGCTTTAGACCGCCAAAGATCCAAGAAGCCAGCCTTTTTTTCTTCCGATGCTGTTTGTGCTTGCTAATCAAGAAAAAATAATAAATAGATATTAGGATTAAGTTTTGAAGGGTATGAAGAGTTGATAACTTACCAGATCGATATGCTTTTTCAATAATGCAAATTTTTCCTTTACATTTGTAATACTAGTCTTGTTCATTTTGCTTGCTTTAATCATTTCAACTTCAGCTTCATCAATCTGGTCATGAGTTAGCTGCCATCTGATTGATTCAGGTATTTTAAACAACCAAATAACCCAAAACACCTCGAGAAATGCATGGAAATACGAGAAAGTCTGAAAATCTCGTAAAAAATAATAAACACCTGGTAATAAGATGTAACCTAAAGCGAAACCGTTATCAACAGCAACCGATATGAAACCACGTTCATTGGTTCCTACGCACTCTAGAACTAATAGAGTAAGAAAAGATAAGATTTTTGATTAATACATGTGATTTTCATGTAATCTCGTCATGAGTGAAGTACGATTAACATACGAAGAAGGTAGCCGGTAAGAGCACGCCCATTGCTGCCAATTCCTTGGATAAATTTAAAGAAGATGAACACGTAAATAGAGGGTGATAAGGCTAAACCGAGAGCTGAAACAATTTCAAGAGGCATAGCAATACGAAGAACAGTCAGGCGACCATAATCATCAGATAATCGAGCAAATATGACGGCACCAAGGATCACGCCAGCCATGAAGCATGATTGAGCAAATGATGCTAACCAAGAACGACCACAGACAAGATCCCACTGAAATAAGAAAATAAAAGTAATCAAAAGATTAGATCCACAGATAGAGTTATCACTTTATTACAAAGTTGATTGAGCACTAAATGAAAAATTGTGAAAGTAAACAAAAACAAACCTTATCGATTACCGTAGAGATCCAGAATGATTTGTCATAGGTCCAGACTTCACAATTGGCTGAGCATATATTGGAGGAATTCTGGAGGAAATAAAATCACAAAAATTGATCAAGATAAAGAAGGGTCAAGTAAATATTAGCATTGTCTTACCTTATACATTAGCGGTTTACTACACCAATAGTCAATTGGAGGTGCAAAGAAAGGCATCGTTAATTTGTCAAAAACCGAGAAAATTAAACAGGAGAAGTAGAAAAGGAAAATATTCGTGTGCCATGGACCCCAACCCCCGATGATATCCGAGACAGTTTCGATTTTCGATTTGGTCTGTGACATGTCTACTTTTTGATGACCAATTGTCTCAAGATTCTAGAGTCAATCAATTTATCAACATAATACAAGTGGTAATACTGTTGGATCTTAAGGAGATAGTCCTTTAGATATTTAAACTTAAAATGAACGTCATTGAATAGATGATGGAGATGTTCGATTGCTGGTTGGTGTTTATTCAGATGAACACAAATTAACATGTATTAATTAATATGAATAAACTGGTTAAATTAAAATTACCATGTCGTGTGATAGGGTAGGAGTACATCAATAGTAATCTTTCAACCTTTGTTGTCATTATAAGCTACCCTTTAAGATATTTAAGAAGAGCTTGGATCAAAGAGGTAGGTTTATTGCTGATTAATCTGATCAAGAATAACTCAAATCCTATTCATTTGATTAATTTGGAAAGGAAGAATAACTGAAATCACAAAATAATCAAGAGAAAGGGGAAAAAATAAGAAGAGATCACAAGAAAAATAGAGACTAGGAAATGAACAGTAAGAGTAACTGCAAATCCTTTACTCGATTGCTCAGACTCTATGGATTGCTTTCTTTTAAATGTATTCATTTGTTTTGTTTATTGGATCTCTAAGGAGGTGAAGTTAGCTGATTATTGAGATTGCTTATGCCGATAATTTTTAAATCAATAGATCAATAGAATGAATAATTCACTCAAATCAGTTAATTATTACACTTGAAGCTTTGACGTTAGGTTAGCTCGTAATCTATTTGGGTATCTAATGCATCCAAGAGACACCAGATTTTGAAAATGAGGCTCTGAGTTAAACCATTGAACGCTACTCATGTTTCCTGTCACAATAAGCTAATAATTTTATTACACGCGTCCAAACTTTGATTGTTAATTTGATAATCAGCCAATCAATGTGTCAGTTATTCTTATGTGTAATTTTGGGTTCGATTGTAACAATAGTTCAAGTATTGAACCCGGATTTGCGCCATTTGAAGATAATCTCCAATATTGTCATTCACCGGTTAAATCTGGTTAAAATGAACAGAAAAGGACATTACATGGACTGACTTTTTTGGTTAATTACTATTTGGTTAATGACTGATTAGTATATTGAAAGACACATTTTTGGGTTACTGTTGAGGATAGCTGTAAACACCATAATCGTTTGTTAGCTTGATTCATTGTTAATTGTCAATCCACTTTCATGTGATGTTATGGTTTTCTGGTAATCGATTAATTGATCGTCATTGACATTTATCTCAACGGTTATCCTTGATTTGGAGATTACTTTGAATCACCCGATTGTCAATTGATCTGTTTAAATAACACCCAAAAATTGCAACAAATTGGTTTAATTGCTTGAAAAGGTTAATAATGTACGACAGGAGTTGTTAAAATAAACAATATAGCAATAGATTCAAGGTTTTACTGTCATTCACACCGGTACTTAACATTGGTACAACGAGTCAACAGCTAAGAGCAATATTAAGCAAACATAGCAATTCTGGTTAAGTACCATTCATTATTGAATACGCAAGTTTGTATGCTTTTCAAATACATAGGCAAGTATCACAATTGATTTTAGCAACAATGTTTCCTGGCAAAAACGCAGGTCATCATCGGTATCCGACCAGGGACTGCACAGGGACAATATTGACCTTGGATTCCCGTTACAAATTGAACCTTATGTCACCTAAATAGACGCAAATAAGATGAGAAAATAACCCAAAATGAAGCCAAAAATGTATGAAAGCTTTAGGTCATTCACTTTAATAGGTTTGATGTAAAAAGGTTTCCGTAAGAAATATTTGCTCGGCAAAGGAAGACGATGTGTTGATGGTGAAATTGACTACTAATGGCCTGATCTGCGTGAAGTTGTTGAACATATTTTAGTTGATTTAGATGATAAAAGATGCTAAAAATATTGACTAGCGATTTGATATGAAGGAAGAGAGAGAAAAGGAAAAAGAATTGAAAGTGAAAGTGACAATAGAAGCAAACAGAAGCTCACATTATTCCTCTCCTTCATCTTGACTTTAGATGATAGATTATATTATGAGAATTAGATAAACAGGTAACATTTTGGGTCCATTCTTGATCAGAAAATGATGATCAATATGTTAAGAGATACTTTACCTTGCCTAAAAATCGTGGGAATATCTTTTTTTCCAGGTCAAAAATCGTCATCTCAAAGGTACATAAAATCATAACCTCTGTTAATATCTTGATATTACCTAAATCCCTATTCAAATCACTATTTTTGTACATTGAAATTGCTTGAACTTTTTCTAATGTTACTTCAATTTTCTGGTTTTTTGGAACCAATACAAATGTAAAATTGGTCAATTCACCTCTGGCCTGAATTAACTTTCACTGAACAGTTATGATCAATCAATCAAAGACGATTAAATGAACCAGATTTGTTATAATATTTTAATCAGTTAAATTGGCAGAGTCACAGCTTAAATTGATACGAGTATTGAAACAGTTGTTGTAAAGTAACTTGAAACACCTCCAACAAATGTTAAGATGATTAAAATGACACTAATATTCAACTAAATCATATTATATGAAACTGATATTTAATAATCAAATTGAATTGAATCCTCCCTTATAACGGAACCAATTAAATGAATTTTAATACAATTAGCAAACAAGGAAAGGAAATGTAAATACAAATTGAAAAAAAGCAACAGCTAACATCAGCATACAGTTGAACCTACAAATTGCGATATGAATTGATCATCTTAATTTTATTATAATCCAATGATTAAACAAAGGTAACACAAAATTAAATAGATCAAGGATGAATTATTAATTAAGATGGCAATTTAACCTAAAATGTTGAAGCTTAAAAAATGACCTGAAAAAGATTCCCACGTTTGAAAGATTCATTCTGATACAATAATAATAGTAACAAGAGACTTCAGAGATAAAGAAGAAGAAGAAGAAGAAAGATGAGGAAGATGATGATGATGATACCCAATGAAAGATGTAAATAAGGTAAGAGGAAGAAGAACGTAAATCTTCATTTACTTGCTCTACTTTTCCAAATGAAGAATCTTTTTCATCTTCTTCTTCTTCTTCCTCTATCTTCTTCATCCCATTCTCATCCCTAGTATTTTTAGCATCTAAAGTAGTTCAACTTTTCTCCGACTTGTTACCTGAGTTTTTCTGGTTATTTGGTCATAACAGATCGGGCTAAAAGTGAATGACCTTTACTGGCCATAGACTTTTCTTTTCATTGTTTGACCTTCTTTCTTTCTTACTTTCTTTTTTCTTCCTTGCCTTCTTTACCTTTATTATCAACATAATTGGTTGCTTCAAGATTTTGGCTTTACAATACTAAGGTAATCTCATAATCAAGGAAAGGTCATCCATTCAATTGGATTTACTTGAGTTTACTTTAGACCAATAATTAGACTTAATTTGACGCTCTTTTTTATACCATTGGACTCAATCGGCTGACCTAGATAACATCCAAACCCAATAAGATCACTTTTCAGGTTTTACATTATTTTATCAGCTATTTGTTGATACATTTTACTTTGATATTTAGTCGTTTCCAGCTTCATTTTGTGTTGATTTGTCATTGAAAATCAATCAATTTTGCACTTGGTTCAAGAAAACATGAAATGCCATTTATTTTGGTGTTTTTTGTTCCCTCAACCCAAATCAAAACTCAGTCAGTGATAATCGTCATCACCATCAACTTGATCATCATTCAAATCATCTTCATCAGATGACATCTTTGCACTTTAAATTTACTCACTTGAAAAGATATTTTCGTATTTTTCACGTTCGGTGAAAAAAAAGTTCAATACGGTTGGTTGCTTTGATCAATGAAATTATCACAGATTAAGCTGTTAAGATGAAAGTTGATGGTTTAATGGACAGTTTGGCAGCAGACTCAAGTGTCTAGTCGTTAAACTGGCTACAGCTTTTCAGGTCAACATTCCAGGTCAACCCAAAACCTAGGAAAATAACATTACAGTTGGTTTTTGAAAAAAACCTAAGCCTTGATTTTTCCCTTCACCAAATCTTTCCTTGTCTGGAAGTGGTTTTCATGTGGCATTTGGTTCATATTTGCTATTAAAAGTGAATCAAATTGAGTATTTAATCTTAAAATTAATAGTTGCTTGTAAATACAAATGGTTCATTAAATGGACATCTTTTTGAAATGTTAGCTAATCAGTACACATTTTAACCCAATCAATATTATAGTCTTTTAATGGTCATTTGAAAATAACCATAAAGGAATGAATTACGCTAATTCGAGGTTAATTTAATGAATAAACAATTCGCCGATTGCCTTGAAAGTAATACTCTGTGCTTAAACGCCTTTACCTAACAACCATTTTTCAACTCATTGGTTAAGGCTTACGATAAAACCTTTATTGGTGGTTAATCATCACAGAGAAATTGGTTTGAATATAACATTTCTCATTAAATTATATTGACTTCCAAGTGAGTAAAGGTGTGAACAATCAGATTAAAAGGGGTTAAATTTCAACTATCAGATTTAGGATTTGATGGAAAGGTAAAAATTTAAAGAGATAAAGAAAAACAAAAAAGGTTATTCTTAATTAACTAACCACCCGTCAATTTTTATTCAAATTATTGCGAATACAAAAGTCCTTCTCAAGTTAAACAGTTGATTAAGGTGCCAAACGATCGTCTCATTACCGGCTTAATCGATTAAATTGAGGTAAAAATATAATTAGCTAAGGTAAATGAGAAACAAATATTCATATAAAAGATAGGATTATATCAGAAACACTGACCAGTTGATTATTCATTTCTACTTAATAAACGTTTTTCTTATTTTTCGTTTTCTTTTTATCCAATTGACCGTTGATTTTGGCTTCTATTTTCTGTGTTTTCTGATTATCAACAACTTAAAATGGTGGTAACAATTCAAATGGTATCTTAATTTTCATTAATTTTGTTTTTCTTTTGAACTCAACAGTCACTTCTTTTAGTTCAATGAATCAGTTAAGCTTAAGGAGACATTTTGGTTTAGTCTTTGCCTTTTGTTTTTTTCCCTCCCTTTGATGACGCTCAGTTCAAACCTTTTTGTTTTTTATCCAATTTTTCTGACTTAAGAAGTGACTGTTATTTATTAATTTTATATTCAGCTAATTTTGGTTTGTGTAATTGTTTTGTTCAAACAGTTTACCGTTTTGGTTGTGACATTAGTTTACTTGGCCTGTCCATCAGAGTCTTTTGTGTCCATTAAATCACTTCCACCGTCAACAACAACAACCTCGCCACCAACCAATAAGTTACTGTTAAATAAGGATTATAATTTTAGTCCAGATTATTCCCAATTGAAAGGCAGCCAACCTGATAAGTTGAATTTAACTGATGACAAGCGGAATCCGTTTAACCTTCGCAAGTCTCTTACTGGACCTAAATCAGGAAAATACCGAGAAGTGGAAGAAGTAACTCCTTCTAATGAAATTGACGAGGAAGCAAGAGAACCAGAGATATTTAGACAACCAAAAGAAGTAAGAGACCCAAAGATACCGGAAATTGAACCAGAGAGTGGACCAATAGATCCAAACACACCTGGCTATGCTGGTCCTCCACCCTCGGGCCCTCCTCCAGCTCAGCCCTCTTTGCCAGTCCCTCCAAGTAGCGAGTATCCAGGAATTGCCTCTAGCCCGGATTCACCACCCCAAACATTTCCAACCAACTTGTTTCCGGCTCAACGTCCAAATACCGTTCCTTCACTTCCACCTCCTGAATCTGATAATGAGCAACCATCACCCTATTATCCTCCAACTGTTCAAACTCCACCTCAACTTTATCCCAACAATTTTTATGCTTCACCTTCACCTCCAACAGCTGAGATTCCTATTCCTCCACCTCCACCCCCACCTCAACCACACTTTTCTCCAACAGTTTATCAGTCTTACTCGCCGCCAGCTTGGTTAACAAACTTTTACACTCATTCAGTTGACTATTATTCCAACTATCCGTACAGTGGAGGTCTTGTCTCATCCTATTCACCTTTGGAAGCTACACTTAAGCACACGATCGATCCATCATACTTAATTCAACAAACAATTTCCCCAATCGAGAGATCTCAATTTACTTCAGTAGCTCCGTACATAGCATCACCAAGCGTCACTACAATTCACTCTCATGCCAATCCATTGTACTATTCAAACACGGATGAAACGCGTCAAGTCCAGGGTAACCAAGAACAACAATTTTATGCCAATCAACCGACACAAATATATGTAACCACAAACAACAACGAATCAACAACCAAGGAAACAAATGAGCAGCAAATTCCTGTTACTAAATCAGATGATGAAAAATCAAAAGAATCATTTGAGACAACCAGAAATGCTAAAGATATTTAACTCGAGAAATCAACTTCATCATAACCTGAGTCATATGCTTGTCACTCCTTTTAAACTAATCAACTAATAATTATATCAACATATTATCTTAGGTTATAATCGGAGTAAAAAGAGCTGAATAACAAAATCTAACAAAATTGCAATCTGGTTTGATGAATTATGAAATCTTGAAGACGTACCGATTAAATCGCGATCAAGATTACTCTCACACAAGCAACACGTTCGTACCAAATGTCAGTGATTTATTATGATTCAACTTTCCAATTACCGTTTAAATAGATTTTAATCGCGGGATCAATAATATCATAAATTTGTTTACGATTTTTAAAAATGTTTACAATTGTGGTTAAAATTGAAGGAAAATTCACCGACATTATTATTGATTGATTGGAAAAATTTCTATTCTTTCATGTAAAGTTGTTAACTAATAATCTAATAAAAAACTAGAGTCTGAATTTTCTCGAGAGTTAATAGTAATTTAAAAAATCGCAATTGATAAAAAGTTCGTTATTGCAAAGCTTGGTTTGATAAACAGTATAACTTGATGACGCCTTAACTCGATTAAAATTCAAATCAATTACGTTGATGAAGAATAGATTCAACAGCTAATAAATTTTGATCAATGTCAAAGTTATTATTTCGCACTTATTTATGATTAGATGTGGACTCGAAATAAGGATTGGTTGAAGGTAAAGAAACTGGTAATTTTTCAATTGTGGCTCTCGGTGTTATAATATTGGCTAATGATCAACGCAAAAGAAACTGCTGAACGGGGCAAAAGAGACTCACGATACTAGATTTGATTAATAATCATAACCGGTCTGACCAAAGTTGGATTGTAATTATCAGGTTGTATCGTCTTACTTCACATGAAGGAAAAAACCTTCTTGTTTAAAATGAACTTCTCTTGTTGACAATAACACGACTAATTTAGTCTGACTAACTTGTTTACAAGTCAATGAATCAGTTATATTGTTTGATACATCCAATCAGTATCGCTAAACCTGGAAGTAGCTCTTTCGTTGTCTTGCCTTTAAGATAAGATACAATTAACCCTTTCCTTTCAGAGACACAGAAATGTTTCGAGGTTTAGTTGTGTTACTTATCATTTCATCGGTTGATAACCTTCAGATTCTCAATGATCCTGGACTAGTTCAACAATGGATCTCATCAGCGGACGCTTTGGATAAACTGTTGTGGCCACAAAAGGATATTGTTTGTCAGTTAGTTGAAAATATTACAAGCAATTGGGATTTACCAGTTTCTCAGCAGTGTTTAAGCGATCTCCATAAAATTCATAATGGACTGAACCAGCGTAAAGTTTGGGCTTATAAATGTAAGTTCAATTTAAGTGCGAATCTCATTAGTGAAGCCAAATGGTTTAAAAATTGAAATGAGTGGACAAAGATTATAAAGAAACCTTCAATATCAACTTATCCAATATTATTTGAATGTTTTTTGGCAGTTCTAGAATCATCAGCTGGTAATAAACCTGGTTTTTTGAGAGGTTACATAAGTGATCTGGGAAATTATCATGAATGTCTTTCAATCTCTCATGACTTTGGATCTAAATATGGATTACTTTCTGGTCAATATTGTCTTCTTAGAGTTCACTTACCATTACCATTCAAGCCGGTACAGACTAATTATGATTCAATTAACCTGAACTTAAATGGAACCATTTTGGAGGATTCTTATTATTCCATGTTTGCCAAGCAATTGAAATTTTTCTACAACAATACGTTCAATTTCGGATTCTGTATTCCAACATCGTGTTCACAAAATGATTTTCAAACGGTAACCAACAGAGGTAAATATTATCGATCTGAATAGATCTGAAAGTATTAAACGTTTTAATTTAGTCTTAGATTCAACCGTCAATAAACACGGTTAGTAGTTCCCGTGAGATTTTTGTTGATTATTGTCTAAATGATCAATGACAATTAAACCAGAATAGTTAGAGTATCGAATGTCATCGCTCTCCTTGTCAGGTTGTAAAAATAGCTAGTTTGGTAGGTTCATCAGAGTAACCATTCAACACTAGATCTTCCAAGTTACTCAAAAATGGGAAATAGTGGATGAAATCAGATGAATGGAATCTGAGGCGATTGTATAGAGTTGCAAGATGCTCAGTTTAAAGTTGTCTGAGTCTACTTTTAGAGGGAATAAAATACAATCTGTTTTGCTAAATCAATTAATTTGATACACTAATACCTTTTGATCATTATTTTAAGTTTTCCAGGGAACTCGTATTACACCGAAAGTAAGTTCCTGTGAAAAAAATGACATTACGGATGGTCCACGTTCAATCAAATATCAAGAAACCGCTATGTAAGTAAATTCAGTACTTATTGATTCTGACAAAATAAAGAGAAGCAGAAATGAAGAAGTTATAATGCAGAACGAAGATTAACACTAAGTATAGAGAAGTACCAAAAAGAACACGTTTAAACATGATAAAAATCAACTCAGAATGTCCAGAGTCCATTACTGATAAGCCAATGCTGATAATGGTTTAAGATGTTGTTCAAGAAATAATAAGTACTAGAAGGGTAGATGCAATGAAATCTATGAATGTTAATAGATTGTCACAATGTTCACTAATTTTTTGCAAATTATCTCAGGACTATCTTGACAATGTTAACACTTCTAATCCTGGGTTCAACCTTGGTGACTCACATTTATCCTGATAATGTTTCACCGGTTTTGGCTTCTTTTTCAATTATTGAAAACACCAAAAAGTTGATTCCACGTGATGATGACAACGACAGACCTCACGATTTAGCATTTATTCATTGTGTACGGGTTTCCTTACGTGTGTTTGGTCTTCTTGGTCACATTTATTTAACATTGGGTGTCGTCCCTCACACATTTCGTACGTATATTTTACATTCTTGACCATTTGGCTGGTAAAGTAGTTTTATTAAGATAGGAAATGAGAAATGAAAATGAAAAGTAAAGATACCTAAAATTACAGGCAAAAACACAAAATGAAATTACGTATAACAACTTGTTGAATAGTGATTGTCAACTTCATAATAATTAATGTTATATATTGGATTGATGTGAATAAATCTAGATTTTTGATTGATGAGTCAAGAGACACTAAAAAAATTTAAGAGTGGAAATATAACAGCAAAAGAAACAATCGAAAAATCAGTTGTTACATTAAAGAAGAAGAGTTGAACTAATGACTGTTTTGTTTTCTCTTCATTGTAGCCATTTTTTCCTACTCATTGCCCCAACAATGGTTAGTCAGAGAAACATGGAAACAAATGTTTATCTTTATTGACATCTTTTTTGTTATGAGGTAAGTGTAACATTTTCAACTATTAGTATTCATATTAGTGTATTTTATACACAATTCATGTTAATCAATCATAATTTCAATTTGTTTTCAGTGGATTTCTTACAGTTTATACTTGGTATCCAAAAATAAAACAGTTAAATGGGGAAATATCATTCTATCGATATGTTACAGCCCGCTTCTTCAGGTAAGTTTAGTTTAAGTGACTTGACTGTGGTTATAATGACAAGGCTTAGCTTAATAAAACTTTGATTTTTTAGGTCAACTCCACTTTTTCTGGGAATTCTGGTGTTACTCTTTGCGTTTTCTGGTATCGGATCGGGACCAATTTTTTCTGAATTTAGTGACATGATCAAAGGCAATTGTATGAAATATTGGTGGACTAATTTACTCTATGTCAGTAACTGGGTTAAACCATCTAAAATGGTAAGAATTATATTGTTATAGATTTTGATTAACAATTCAAATAATTCATATTTTTAAAAGTCGTTTCATTTTTCTTGATATTTAGTGTTACCCAAATTGGTGGTCTATTAGTATTGATTTTCAACTTTATTGTTTAAGTTACTTACCGTTAATATGGCTTGTTGTTAATCCAAGACAAGGAATCATCTCACTTGTTGGTCTCATCGGAATTGGTCCTTTGCTAACTTCATTGGTGGCTTTCATAAAACGAGTTCCGCTTCTAGTTTGTTGTACTCTTGATTATGATCAAGAAACACAATTTTTTGAACATTTCAGTACTTATACGCATATAGCACCATATTTCCTAGGAATGTTAACAGGATATTTAGTTGTAACAAACAAGGAAATTGAAAACAAGGTAAATTATAAACGTTTAAACACCATTCTAATTTCAATCAAACTTCTAATGCGTTTTTTAACCTTTAGCTCCTAATAGCTTTAGGTTACGTATTTTCAACCATTTTTTGGATAGGGACATTTGTGTTGTCTTACTATTTCGTTGATAGTCATCTAGATCGATTTGTTGAAGTTGCTTACATTGGTCTTCAAAAGCTGGTCTTTTCGAGCTTCTATGCATGGCTTTTCTATGCTTTCTCATTCAAATATGGAGGTAATGTAACTCTTAAATCTATTAAATTAAATATTTAAACTTATTTAATACTTATTCAAACTTTAGGCATTATTCAGGAATATATGGCTCACAAGATATTCGTACCATTCAGTCGACTCAGCTATTCCATTGCCATGTCTGAAATGTTGTTCATTTGGTATGACATAACAAACTCTCATCAATATTTTCCGGCTGATCATTACAATGAGGTAACTTCATGAAATCAGTGATATTTCCGTTCTTTAACACTTACTTCTTTTCCTTTCCAGGTAATTCGAGTTTCTTACATCTTTCTTATGTGTACTATCCTCGGGTTTATAGTCTATTTGCTATTTGAAGCGCCTGCTTTAAATTTGATTAAAATTTTCATAAAACCTCAAACAATTGACCAAATCAAACCACAAACAAATGGTTCTGAAGTACAAATCCACAAGCCAGAGAAAATTGATTGAAACATTGGTAGTGACCAGTAGAATAGTGTACGAATATGGAACACAAGTGCCAGCTCTCATCCAACATCCATATTTTACAAACTCTACCATCTACTATACTGTTTCAACCTAAAATCACTTACTGTGTATTTAACCGGGTAGCTAAATTGGCCGCCATTTATACTTGGAATATAATTTGTCACAAAAATGTTTGCCATCAATATAAATCAAGCACAATCAAAATAACCATTAACTTGATTGTAAAATAGACAGATTATGTGCTTAACAAAGGTATACATTATACAAATAAAAAGTTTCAATATTTGATATTTGGCTGGATCGCTAAATTAAAATTAGAAACTATTAAACTGTCAAATTAGAGCTTATAAAAACCTTTTCACTTTAAAACTCTTCTTTATCTGCATTCTATTTCCTTTATTAAGTAATAGAAGGTTGCTCATTTTTTGGAAATTTTTGCCTACCTTTGGGTCATTGAATGTCATGTTGAGTTGCACATTTTAGGGTTAACTTTTGTTAGTAATAAGCATATTCAAATTGATACCAGAGTTAGAGATGAAGGGTTAAACATGCTCACATGCATAAACATTGAAAATGATGAAATCAAATAAAATCAAAAAACCGATGATCAGGTTTTGTGTGTTGATGAGAATCAAATGAAATGAAATTCATATCTTTACACCCATTTGATTAGCGGAACATAATGATAAGCTATCAGAATGATCATCAATATTCCAGCGCTTGTCCATATCCATTTCCAGTGAGCTATTTATCGCTGTTTTATTATAGTTTGTCCATTGAAACAAGTTAATTTACGATAAAAACTTCCGAGAAGTACTGATAGTTATCGATATTTTGACCTGTTCTCAATGTCTTTATCGGAATTAATGGATACCACTACTAATGTTACTACTCGAACACTTAGACTTACCTTTTACCCACTTTGCATATGTAAAGAGACTGGTAATTTTTTTCAGTTCAATCGTAACTCTCGGTGTTATAAGATTGACTAATCATCGATTCTGGAGAAATTGAAAATGTGCAAAAAATCAATTTAATGATTTGAATTAAATAACTCATAGCTGGTCAAAAGTCAAAATTATAACTATCACTACGTGATGGAAAAAACTCGATTGAAACATATTAATGAATGTCAATTGTTAACGATAAAAAGACTGTTAGTTAAACTAACTTTTTAACAATTCAATGTATCAGTTATACGTGAACAAGTCTTGCTACATCAGTATCTGTGAGCAAAGAGTTAGACTCTTTGATCTGTAAATCTGAAAGTAGCTCTTTCGTTGTCTTGCCTTTAAGATAAGATACAATTAACCCTTTCCTTTCAGAGACACAGAAATGTTTCGAGGTTTAGTTGTGTTACTTATCATTTCATCGGTTGATAACCTTCAGATTCTCAATGATCCTGGACTAGTTCAACAATGGATCTCATCAGCGGACGCTTTGGATAAACTGTTGTAGCCACAAAAGGATATTGTTTGTCAGTTAGTTGAAAATATAACAAGCAATTGGGATTTACCAGTTTCGCAGCAGTGTTTAAGCGATCTCCATAAAATTCATAATGGACTGAACCAGCGTAAAGTTTGGGCTTATAAATGTAAGTTCAATTTAAGTGCCAATCTCATCAGTGAAACCAAATAATTCAAAATTGAAATGAGTGGACAAACAGTAACCAACAGAGGTAATTATTGCCCATCCAACTAGGTTTAACAACTTAAACCCCTTTAATTACGCTAATACCTTTTGATCATCATTTAAATAAGCTTTTCAGGGAACTCGTATCACACCGAAAGTAAGTTCTTGTGAAAAAAATTATATTACGGATGGTCCGCGTTCAATCAAATATCAAGAAATCGCTTGTAAGTAAAGTCAGTATAAGTCTATTATTGATAAGTCAATTGTGATGTACAGTGTATAATTATGTAAGATATTGTCTAATGAGTATTAGAAGGTACATGCAATTAAAGGTTAAATCTGTAAATATATTGATAGATTATTGCAATGTATTAGAGTTTACTGATATTTTGCCAATTTCAGGATCATCTTCACAATATTAACACTTTTTGTGCTGAGTTCAACCTTGGTGACTCACATTTATCCTGATAATGTTTCACCGGTTTTGGCTTCTTTTTCAATTATTGAAAACACCAAAAAGTTGATTCCATGTGGTGATGATGGCGAGCCTCAAGATCTGCTTTTTATTCACTGTGCAAGGGTTTCCTTACGTGTGCTCGCTCTTCTTGGTCATATTTATTTATCATCGGCTTTTATTCCTCACACATTTCGTATGTAACGTTCTCCACCATATGATTAGTTGAAATAGTTTTATTCTAGGAAAAATAAAAGAAATAAAAATAGAAAAGTAAATAAGAGTAAAAATATTTGCAGTGAAACTTGAATCGAAAATTTGTAAGCATAAACAACTTGTTAAATCTCTTAATTGTCACTCACTTCTTCAACTTATGACTGTTTTGTTTTGTCTTGATTGTAGCCATTTTTTCCTACTCATTGCCTCAACAATGGTTAGTCAGAGAAACATGGAAACAAATGTTTATCTTTATTGACATCTTTTTTGTTATGAGGTAAGTGTAACATTTTCAACTATTAGTATTCATATTAGTGTATTTTACCCACAATTCATGTTAATCAATCATAATTTCAATTTGTTTTCAGTGGATTTCTTACAGTTTATACTTGGTATCCAAAAATAAAACAGTTAAATGGGGAAATATCATTCTATCGATATGTTACAGCCCGCTTTTTCAGGTAAGTTTAGTTGAAGTGACTTTGCTGTGGTTATAATAACAAGGCTTAACTTAAAACAAATTGGTTACCCAAATTGGTGGTCAATTAGTATTGATTTTCAACTTTATTGTCTCAGTTACTTACCGTTAAAATGGCTTGTTATTAATCCAAGACAAGGAATCATCTCACTTATTGGTCTCATCGGAATTGGTCCTTTGCTTACTTCATTGGTGGCTTTTATAAAACGAGTTCCGCTTTTAGTTTGTTGTACTCTTGATTATGATCAAGAAACACAATTTTTTGAACATTTCAGTACTTATACGCATATTGCACCATATTTCCTAGGAATGCTAACAGGATATTTAGTTGTAACAAACAAGGAAATTGAAAACAAGGTAAATTATTTACGTTTAAGCATCATTCTAATTTCAATCAAACTTCTAATGCGTTTTTTAACCTGTAGCTCCTAATAGCTTTAGGTTACATATTTTCAACCATTTTTTGGATAGGAACATTTGTGTTGTCTTACTATTTCGTTGATAGTCATCTTGATCGATTTGTTGAAGTTGCTTACATAGGTCTGCAAAAGCTGGTCTTTTCGAGTTTCTTTGCATGGCTATTCTATGCAGCTTCATTCAAATACGGAGGTAAGGAACAAAAATCAAGTCCAAATTCCAATTAAAAGGATCCAATTAATCCATTTATCCGATATGTCAATCAAACAGGCAGCACATCTAAATATATGGTTGCTAAGGTATTCGTACCATTCAGTCGACTCAGTTACTCAATTGCCATGTCTGAAATGCTGTTCATTTGGTATGACATAACAAACTCTCATCAATATTTTCCGGCTGATCATTACAATGAGGTAACGTCATGAAATCAGTGATTTCCGCTTTTTAACAATTCTTCTCCTTTTCAGGTAATTCTAGTTTCTTACATCTTTCTTATGTGTACTGCCCTCGGGTTTATAGTCTATTTGCTATTTGAAGCACCTTCTCTAAATTTGATAAAAATTTTCATAAAACCTCAAACAAATATTTCGAAAGTACAAATCCAGAGGCCAGAGAAAATTGATTGAAACATTGGTAGTGACCAGTAGAAGACCAGAATAGGGTATGGATAGAAGTTCCAGCTCTTCATTCATCAGTTTCATTCTTCTGCCCGCTCATTCACTATGCTGCATAATCCTAACATTACTCACTTCGATGATTATATAATCTGAATTGGCAACCATCTAGAGACTGCAAAAGTCTAACGTTATCATCTATTTCAAGGAAAAGTTTGTCATATAAATCAAACACACTGTAAAATAGACAAATCGTGTCATGCATTCATTTAAAAAATGAATAAAAAGTTTCAATATTTGATATTTGGTTGAGTTGCTAAATTGCAGTTAGAAAATGAAACTTTGAAATTGTTTTTACTTAAACTTATTATTAACTCAATAACTTTATCTACATTTCATTTCCTTTATCATTCAATAGAAGGTTGCTCAATTTTTTCGAGTTTTCGTCTACCTTTAGGTCATTGAATGTCATTTTGAGTTTCCGATTTTAGTGTTAACTTTCTTTTGTTAGTGAGTAATGGCACAAAAAAATATTCAACTTGATACCAAATAGAGGAAGAGATAAAAAGTGATCAAACGCACTCACATGAATAAACCTTGAGAATAGTGAAATCAAATGAAAAAAAAACTGATAATCAGGATTTGGTTTTTTTTTTGCAACGGATGTGTGTTGATGTAAATCATTGAATTTCATATCATTACACCCATTTGATTAGTAGAACACATTGACTCACCCTTTTCAACAATTTAAACATGATTTTCTAGAAAAAAAACTGTTTTTTGCTGTTGATAAAAAATTAGGTAAAACAACGATCTGGAACAATCTTGGTTGGCATGAAATTGGATCAATTTATTATCCACAATTAGTTGATTTAACCAATAAACATCGTGTTTTGATCATCGCTCGAAAGCGTATTTCCCATTCAATTTAAAATTGATTAAGAAATGATAGTTAGAAACGCCTTCTGAGCAACAATCAAAAACCGATATCTTGGAATTTTTAGTTGCCAAAAAAGAGAAAGAGATAGAGGCACTTAAACAGAGAACGCAGTTGTGGGAGAAACATAATTAATGATGACAAAGATTTGGATAATAATGATGAAAGATGATAGCGATGATGGGCAACACACAGTGCAATAAAAACAATGTTATAAAGTGATACAAACAAAAGCACAAACATTAGCAAAAATACAAAAGTGAAAGAAACAGTCAGAGTGTAAAAAAATGGTTGCAAGGAAACAAAAAAAACATAGACTTTGAAAAGTGAGTAATCGGTAAATCTCTCGAGACTTGCTGGAGATGAGTGAAGATGGACAAATGAAAGATGAAGTTGAAAATATGACGATTATGATGATGGTGATGTTGAAGTAGTCAAAAAAAGGAGAAGGAGGAGAAAAAGAAGATAAGAGTGAGCTGTAATTTCTTACACAATTGAGTATTTTGATTGGCTAAAGAGAGATGATAATGAAGAAGAAGTACTAAGATGGGAGAAAGAGAGAGACAGCGAAAGAGAAGAAAGAAAGAAAGGGAGAAAAGCAAAGTAATAAGGTAAAGTTGAAGACGATTTTTGACCTGCAAAAAGATATTCCCACGATTTTGTTTTTTTTATCAATGTGTATGTTAAGGTTAAAAAAGGTAAAGTATGTTAGGTAAGGTAAAGTGTCTCTTGTAACATATTGATCATCATTTTTCTGATCAAGAATGGACCCAAAATTTTTACCTGTTTATATTAATTCCCATAATATAATCTATCATCCCAAGTCAAGATGAAGGAGAGGAATAATACGAGCTAAAGAAATACTGTCTAACGGATCACAGGTAATGTTGTTACAGGGGAGAAGAGAAGATGAAAGAAAAAGAATCATCTTCTTTCATCTCTTTTTTTCGCCCTATTTTATATATATTTTTTTTCCTTTTCTTTTGCTTTCTTCTCCTTCATCATCTCTCCCTCTCTTCATCTCTAGTCAATATTTTTAGCATCTTGTAACTTAAAAATGCTTTTTTACTTTACTTTCTTAAATCAAGCCCGCCTATTAGTAGTTTACTTTCATCTTTCTTATTTTTTTTCTCCTTCAACATCATCTTTCTTTTTAGCTTCACTTTTTTACCGATACCTTTTTATAAAAAAAAACGGAGCTATTAGAGTGAATGACCTACACTCTCCATAGACTTTTTTGCTTGGGTTCCTTTCATTGTTTGACCTTCTTTCTTCTATCAGTCATCTTCTCTCTCTTTTTTAACCTCATCGTCTTAAATATAAAAATATATTTGTTATTATATAAGATGAGGCAACATAAGGTGATTGGGATCAATCTTTGAGCGGAGACTCAACACACAATGGTAACGGGAATCCAAGGTCATCATCGTCTTCTTGTTTGTTTCGTTTTTGCTTCAATCTTCATTTTCATCAACATCATTATTCATCAACGTATTTTTCCTTCTCACATCATTTTTCTACAAAAATCTAGGGCAAAGCAACATGCTTTTTTGTTCTCGAACTTTACAAGTCTTTCTTTTTTCTCCTCACATATCCTTAATTTATAATTGGTGTGGCTCTTTTTTTCAGGTTAAGGCGCAATAGGCATTAAGTGATCCCAGAGTAGCAGTTTTCGTTTTTTCCATATCCAATGTTTGATCAAATCATTTTATTCAACACAAAACGTCTATCAATCTGCATACAGATGGTACATTTTACATGTCTTCAATCATTAATAATATGCTTGTTAATTGGTGGCTGTAGAGCGGTAAGTTAGTGCGGTTTCTTCCCATAGAAAGGCAATTTTCTTATTAAATTGTTTTGTTTATACAAGTTTGAAATGTTATTTAGAATTCCAAGCCCAGCCATTAGGTTAAAATACGAAGCCTTAGGTTTTTGTTTGTTTGTTTTTTTTTGATTGGACAAAATCAATACGAATCTCTATTTCCGAAAAATTTTTGCGACTCCCTGCTTTATTTGTCTCTTGCTTTTACAGGTATGACGATGACGACGATTGATTGGCTTAGTAGTTTGAGCTTCTTAGATAATCTCCTAATTTTTCAATCACTGTATTTAATTGACCAGGGGGGAAACCGTCTGTTGTGGCAGCAGCAAGTAAACCTAAAGATAGAAAATAAAAGAGGAGTTAATAGGATGAAACAACTTGTTTTTTTTTAAATTATGGTTCAACACTAAAAAATCTTTTAGGGTAAGGCGCAGTTTAAAACTTCATTCTGATTCTTACATGTATTAGTGGCTACAATACAGAGTGCCGAGCTTCCTTTACGTCCTCGAAGTAAATTGTTTTCAGCGTGTAGGCAGAAAAATTTTTCACCTCCGAAACGGATACCAGTTTCTTGAAAAGCTCCAGGATTATTTTTCATAGTGTCTGCAATTGCTTTCAACTCCTCAGGAGTTATTTTCTACAGGAAAAAAAGTGTAAAGATAGAATTGTGAATATAATGATATGAACGAAGGGTGTAAACGAGAATCAAGTGGTGATGGATGCATAAGTGGTTTGAAAATTGAGCTAAATAACTTTGCAATCGATTAAATAGAGTGAAACATAGGGTCAAATCATATAACCTTGAGTAGATAATCGTCGTAACTATCCTGATCGTTAGAGTGACTAAAAATCATGAATTTACATGAATGAAAGATATCTTTCAGGTATTTTCATACACGCAAACCTAAGAACGATACAAGTTCTTGGGTGAATCTATAATCATCATTAAACTTGAATCAGAGGGGCATGAAAATATCCTGTCAGAAATAAGAGCCATAGGGAAAGAAAAAAGAGATATACATTTATTAAAAGGGAGAGAAAGAGAGAGAGCGAGCGAGAGATAGAGAAAGAGAGAGAGAGAGAACAAGAAAGTGATACAGACAGATAAAAAACAAGCATCAAGCAAGAGAGCAACAAAGACAGGAGGAGAAGGATGAAAACCATAGAGAAACACACATCCACACATAGAGAAAATTGAGATGAAAGGAAAAAGAAAAAGAAGGTAAGAAGTAAAAGAGAGGCAGAGACAGTAAGAGGGGGAGAAAGAGACACTTACAGAATGTTCATCTGCTTCATATTTAGCCCATACGGTACCATCTTGAAGGCCAGCAATAACGGCAATTTTACATGAAACTTGAGAACAGATTTGATTATCAACATACGCTTGCCAAGACATTTTTAAATATAATTAAATTGATTGAATCTGTATGAATTAAAAAGAAATAGAAGATGTAGAATAACACAATCAAGCAATGCTGAAATAAAAAAAAAGGAGAGAGAGGAGGAAATCACCACAGTAATGATTTGCTGTTCAGATGAACTACACTTCCAGACAGATTCGGATTCAAAACAGAACTTGAAGTAAAAGCAAAGAGTAAGGAGTTGAAGAGCAACACTTTTCTGCACTTATGTAGCTTTTAGGGCGCCACATTTAGGTAAAAGAGGATATTACATCCAATACAGAAAATGGCGGTTGATAGGAAATTATGTTGAGTAGTAATAAATGTTGATAATACAGTGTAAATGAAAAAGAAGATACAAAAAAGGAGTGAAAAAATGAAGATAAGGTGAGATCATAATCATGGTTAGTCAGTTAGGGTGGGTGATGTTTCATTTTCCCTAATAAGGTCAATAACTGAGAGACATTGATAGGCTTTTCTAATGATTTTAATGAAAAGGTTAGTTCTTTCAGATTTTTCACAGATTTTCAATTGGTGAGATAGTTACATGGTTCATCCAATGAAAGCTATCCACGATGGTGAAGCCGTAGATATAAGCTTTTGTTTTTGGCGATGAAATTGTAGCTTCCTAATGTAAATCTTGGTATTTCATTGATGTTAGTTAAGGTTCCAAAAGTTTTCCAGAAAGGGGTTGCTCTTCCCAGGAAGGAATGATGAAACTTGGTTCTTGCCTATTTTTAATTATTATGATGTTATGAAATTGTTCTTGTTCTAAATTCCGATGTTTGTGTTTATTTACATGATGGTCAGCTTAAATTTTTAAATCTTTAAGCTTTAAACCCTTCTTCAACAGTTAAAAATGAAAATTTAGAAATAAAAAAAGTTGATTGGGTAAATATTTTAAACATGGCGCCAGTAAGAGTCTCAAATCTTCTCCCCTCAAGGAGACTGAAGCTTGCAATTCAAAATAAACCTGATAGGTTTAATGTTTAATCAGTCAATCGCATTTTCTTGTTTTTGGTTTCTTCACTTTTCCTCTTCACATTTGCGATCATTTTAATTATTTTAGTAACTATTTTGTGCCTTTTTTGTTTATTTACGAAGACTAGCCTGAGTCAGAATGTCTTACAGAAAAGCAAAAATTGGTTGCCGTGAACATCCAGATGCAACTTTAATAGAAGATTATAGAGCTGGTGATATGATTTGCTCTGAATGTGGACTTGTTGTTGGTGATCGGGTAATTGATGTTGGTAGTGAATGGCGAACCTTTTCCAATGAAAAAGCCAATGCTGACCCATCTCGTGTTGGAGCTGCTGAGAATCCGTTAATGGAAAATAATGACTTATCTACTATCATTGCCCGAGCTGAGCCCAATAGTTCTGGTGAAGGCTTTAAATATTCAAGTAAAAAACAAATGTCAAGCTCTGAGAGAAGCTTGTTAAATGGATTCAAAGAAATAAGTGATATGGCTGATAAGATTAATCTCGCCAAAACCATTGTCGGTCAGTATACTTTTTATAACAAGTAAATCTATGCATTGTGGTCATTTTATTTGTCAATTTTTATAACTTGTACTTTTATTTGCTTTCAGAACGAGCTAATCTCTTATTCAAACAAGTCCATGATAGCAGGACCACAAAAGGCCGTTCTAATGATGCTATTGCCTCTGCATGTCTTTATATTTCTTGTCGACAAGAAGGAGTACCTCGAACATTCAAAGAAATTTGCGCTGTCTCTAAAGTATCTAAGAAAGAGATTGGACGATGCTTCAAGCTTATTCTCAAAGCATTGGAAACTAACGTTGATACTATTACTACAGGAGACTTTATGGTTAGATTTTGTTCCAATCTGGGTCTTTCCTCTGCAATTCAGAAAGCAGCTACTCATATTGCACGGAAAGCTGTTGAATTGGACATTGTTCCCGGTAGAAGTCCTATCTCAGTTGCTGCTGCAGCTATCTATATGGCTTGTCAAGATTCAAAAACTCCTAAGGAGATCGGAGACATTGCTGGTGTAGCTGAAGTTACTATACGTCAATCTTACAGACTAATGGCACCTAGAGCCGCTGATTTATTCCCAGCTGACTTTCCACATAAAGATGTTAAATTGAGTTGTTAAATTCAATTAATGACTATCAGAATTAAATTTGAAATTAACGCGCAGATGGTCGCGATAAAAAGGGATCAAAAAATTTTCCAACATGTATATTTAATATGTATATCTTGTGATTGGATATTCAAATAGCTGTTGTAATGGTTTCAAATTTGATGAACATTTTACAAACAACCTGAAAAAAGAAGAAAAAAAACAGCAATTAGTGTTTATAAAATTTTGAAGTTGCAGACGATAAACATTAATTTCTCGCATAAACAATTCAATCTTTTACTCACCATCAAAATTTATAAAATTATTAACATCTTAAATTTGACCCATTGATAAACTTTCTTTTGTAAATTACCTAAAAGTTCATATGAATCAGTAAATTACTGCTGAGATAAATTGTTTATGTTTAAACTTAATGATTATTTGCCTTAAATTTCTCAAAAAAACGAGAATCAAAGGCAGTTATTTCAAATTCAAAACTTACCAATGACAAGCAATTATAATTTCCAGCTCCAAAATGATTTTGCTGAGGATGATTTGGAACCTGATGGAAATCAAGTGACAGGAGGAACAAATTGTTTACTTTCTAAATCTACTTTCAATCGAAGGGACAGAAATGATGAAACATATTGTGAATCAAATTGCATTGAATTATCTTGTTTTACATTGAACAAGTAAGAAAATGTTTGTGCTTTCCATGACAGGTTCAAGTTTTGGTCAAAAATTGTTATCCATTTGTTTCTTTTTTGACCAGAAACTAATTTAGCAGCAAAATACACTTTATTTTATTCAAAAGCATCTTTCAATTTACATTACCTCCAACTTTCCAATCAATGTGACAATCTCGTGTAATACATTGTCTAATTGTTATTCCTCAACTATTTCTTACTTCTCAAGCAGCAACAATTATCCCTAAATAAAACCATTTTTGTTTTCAACAATTAACAAGCTTTAAAATAATTGATCAAAATCCTTTTGAATCTTATTCGCGTCTAGTGAAAATAGGTTTTCTGGAAAGAAAATGGTGCGATGATTTGTTGAATTCAATAAAATAGAGTAACATCTCAAGACTCATCTGATAGCAACATCAAACGATCATCAATTGATCAAATTAAAGACAAAAATTTGACTTTCAATCCTCATTAAAAAATATTAGAGGTGAAGATATCGAGAATAAAGTTAATGACAATGAAATTAAATTTAAAAGAGAGTTGACAATTTGTAAGACTTGGGCATGGTTTCATTGGAAGGTGTCGTTGTTGAGCTTTTACCAGACCCAGAACTTGACTTCTTTTTACTCTTTTCCGAAGTTTTACCCGAAGTAGACTCGGTTCCTGAATCCATTCCCGATTCAAGGCCTGACTCAGGTTCATGTGCTTGGCCACAAGTACCACTTCCACTTGCTTCTGCTCCACCATTGGGATCACCTTCACATGCAGGTTGTTGCAAAGAGTTGGAGACTGATTTTCGTGGTCCAATTAAAGGTCCTTGTCTAACGTGTTTGGTTAAATCTGGTCGACGACAAGAGGAAATACGATGGACACAATGATAACAGCAGCAACACAATGTTTGATTGACCCTTGAACAATTACAGCATCCACAACAAAGACAGACTCTGCAATAAAAAAGGACAATGAGATTTGATGGTCAAGAAAAATATTGATCACAAAAAAAGCTTTATTATATTTTTTCATGCTTCATGATAAAATACACAGAAGTGTATACAGTTTGAGTGTAAATCTTGATCCAAGCAAAAGATTAATGAATTGATTTTTTGTTAAATGATTGATTCCATGTTAATAACAGTTGATAGATTTAACAAGTTGACACTCACAATGGATCTAAACCTATCGACACTGGATAGGATAACAATCATGAAAACAATTTGAAATGGTCATTATGAAAATTGGTTGACGATGAAATTACTCAAGGAAGTGAAGATGATCAACAAAAAATAGAAATGTATTGAGTTCATTCTGTGATGGTTATTTAGTAGATTTATAAGATCGATTATAACAGAATAGATTTGTTATAAATCCTTTCTTTGGACCAAAGGTAAGTCAAGTGGAAACATTGAGTTACAATTGATCAATATTTGACTAACGAGTAGCCTTTCAATTTGAGAAGAGGCTCAATGATACATTAACGATCACAGATTCAGAATAATCAACTAGAAAGGCAACATTATGAATTGAAAAGATTACTTGTTGGAATAATAAGGAATTAGATTCAAATTTTGTTTCGAAATCAGAGTTTCCCTTTTCCAATTGGATCAATGGATTCTTAATAATACTTGAATCAATCGATACTGATGATGGGATGAAAAAAAGGTATAAGATGACATTGGAAAGTAAAGAGAGGAGGAAAAACATATTGACATGAAATAGTGAAAAAAGCAAAAAAACGAGTTACTGAAGTAAACCTGGAAAAATTTATCATCATCAGGTACAATAATTGGATTACCAATAAATATCACAGAAATCTCATCATGAAAATTATGGCATTTCATGCAAAGTTTTGCTGAGCCTAAAGGTTTAAAGGAAAGGTAGTAAAGAGCTGAAAAGGTTAAGGTTAAAATAAGATGAAAATATATCTTTACCTAAGTTCAAGTATACAAACAGACTAAACTAGGCTAAGAAATGATAATGAAAGGTTAAATGATTGAATCCCGAGCTGAACGAAATTCATCTGAAGTCTTGACTCAGTAAGATTGAAATGATTGTTCAAGAATTGTTAAGGATCCGATTATCAATCCTGGTTTAGTTGAGATTGACAATGAATATTGAGAAGCTTTAATAAACTCATTTGAGTTAGATTGGAGTTGTTATTTGGAAGGATAAAAATGAGGTTTAAAGCTTACATATTGTTGGCAAGACCTTTGTGAAATGGTCTGCGACCTCGTCCAACATAACGGAAAGCAAACATTGACCATGATGATGACTTTGAGTATGGATACGACCAATAAGGGGCTCCGTGTCGACCCCATCCATTGTGTCCTGAGCCTTGAGATGCTGATCTCATGCGAAGCCAATTTTCAGGAGGCTTACGAAGGTTTGTATTGAAATTGAGCCCAGCTGTTTTAGGATTACGAGTATAGGGAACTTGTGAGGGTTTATCGTAGCGAACATAGTTACTAGCAGTAGAGTGGCCGGTCAAGGTGGCGGTGCACATCTTCGGTCCTTCTACACCTTCCCCGCATCCAACACCACTTTCATTGATCCTGCAACAACTATTTGTTAAAGATACACTGCGCCGTCGAGAGGGTGATAAAGGACCAGGAGCTGGACTTCGAGCATCAGAGGATTCGCCGGAGCTGTATGAATCAGTTCGGTAGGAGGTTAAATCACTACAATCTTCTTCGATCTCGTCTACTGAAGATGAAGATCCGTCATCTTCACATTTTTCGCTGATTAATTCAGATGATTCAACAATCAAATCTGGAGATAGATCAGGATCATCAGCTCTGCTTGATTGAGATTCATCTTCAAGCAAAGTTATTTCCTCGAGCTTCTTGATACAATGGTTTTCTAAGTTGATTAAATCTAAATAAAGAAAAGAAATTAAATGTGAACAATTAAAATTAAATCAGCTAACTGTTAATTGATTGATGATTGGATAACCATCAGAATGCGAGTAATTTTTGGTGTAACATCTTCTGTTAACCAATAAATATCGACAAGCTTTTTTCCTCTCGAAAATGAGAGTTAACCTTTCATGTTGATCAATTGGTAAATTATGCACTCAACTCTTTGATTAGTTTGATCAAATTCAATTAATTACCAAATTGCTAAGGACGAAATAGCTTGTTGTTTAATATAAAATGTAATTCTCTGAACCATTCTCTGTTAACCATCTGAACAAATGTTCCTCTCGAAGTCTGCTTATATCATCAGACTAATAATGTTTACAAAACAAACACACTGTTAACATACAACTTAAGGAGAGTATGGTTTAATTAATTAAATAAACAAGATTAAACGGAGTAAACTCAATAATTCAGTAAATTGGTCATTGATTGAGATGGGAATAAGTTACAAAGAATTATTATTACATTATTGAAAAGCAAAGTCCCGCCAACTGGCAAACAGCCTTTTGATATTTAAAATTTTAACGAGCTCGATTAACACTAATTGTAAAATACCACAAAAATAGATCACAATTAGCTTCAAGACATTCCAATAAAGCAATCAAAATTTAAAAATCGAAGCCAAGAGATCAATCATCGTAAATTAGTACATTAGTCTTTGCTTAAAAAGTGTTGTTGCTTTCATTTGTTACTAAAAAGACACAAACAACACAATTGTCACATTTATACATAAATTCACAAAAATAATGAAGAAAAATGAGCAAAAACGGGTTAAAATGAATTTTTTCCAAGTTTAGACTCTGTTAGGTTGATGGGAAATAAAATCTGAATATATTTGTGCAATTTAAAGGTTTCTCTGATGAACAGTGCTCGAGATAATCGAGTTCGAAGTTGAAACTTTCAGAGCTTTTTGTACAATTATGGAAGAAGATTTTTTCGTGAAACATCATTTGTCTGATGTATATTTCAATGATCAACCAGGAAATGTACTCATTTTACGAAATATGACTTTTCTTTTTCTGTAAATTCTATTAGTTCGATTTTCAGTTAAACCGATCGCATTCTGTGAGTGTAAGTGTTAGCGAACTGAAACTTATTATTTCTCCAGACAAATTGTTGGCTTACATTATGGATTGAATAATTTTATCAATTTACCAACGATTCTCTTTATTTTGGCCATTGCCATTAAAACTTCGAGCCTCGATATTTCGGGAATGGCATCATCTAAAATCATAATTCTTTCGCCAAACCTTAGACTTCAATATGGACTATTACAGCATTTAACTGAATAAACAATAAAATCCAAGTTAATTCAGAAAATAACGAAGATCCTTCTAACACAGAAGATTTGTTTTTAGATTTATGAATCAAGTTTTGAATCTGACAACGTAACTTATAAAATACTATAAATTTTTTCGTAGGATCTTGAATAATTTAATATTCCAGTATATTATAGCCCATAATAAAATCTAATGTTTGGCGAAGAATTGGGGATTTTAGATGAAGCCATTCCCGAAATATCGAAGCTCAAAGTTTTGGGGCCAATGGCCAAAATAAAGAGAACTGTTGATGATGCGATAAAATTATTCAATCCATAATGTGAGCCAACAATTTTTATCGACGAATAAGCAGTTTGAGCTCTATAACTATCTCAGGGACAGAATGCGATCGGTTTATCTAAAAATCGAACTTGATCTATTTTACAAAAACGGAAAATGTTATTTCTCTAAATAAGACCATTTTATGGTTAATTAGCAAAAGATACATAAGACACATGAATTTTATGAAAGAATCTGCTTCCATAACTGAAGAAAAGGCGATCGAAGTTACAACTTTGACCTCGATTTTCTAGAAAACTGTTTATCGGATGAATGATTTAACAGTACCAATGGACTCAGTTTTTATGTCCCTACAAACCCCACCAAGTTTCAACTCTTTACTCAAATGTTCGAGTCTTTGGTAGCACTCTTTACATTTGATTTGCAAGTTTAACCAGAAAATTGCTTTATTCACCAAGAAATGGGTTAAGATGAGTTTGTTTTGTTTAGTAAGCGTTTCTTGCACATTTAAACACCAAATATCATGACCAAAAATGAGATAATGGAGATTTATTGCATCGGATTGAATTATTAAATAGTAAAGGAGCAAATTGGTGGAAGTATCATGACTTTAGGGGCCACTATTCTCGAATTATCGAGGCACAAAGTTTAAAGACCAATGGCTTAAATCGAGAAAACTGTTGATAACTCGTTAAAAATATTGTGAGCCAACAATTTGTATGGACAAATAATAATTTTCAGTTCGCTAACTCCTAAAGTCACTGAAAACGATCGGTTTAACTGAAAATCGAACTAATAGATTTTACAGAAAAAGAAAAGTCATATTTCGTAAAATGAATACATTTCCTGGTTGATCATTTAAATATACATCAGGTAAATGAGTTTCACGAAAAGATCTGCGACCATAATTGTACAAAAAGCTTTGACAGTTTCAACTTCGAACTCGATTTTCTCGAAAACTGTTTATCAAAGAAATCTTTTAATTGCACAAATGGACTCGTGTTTCATGTCCCTACAATCTAACAGAGTCTAAGTTTGAAAAAAAATAAATTTTACCCTTTTTTGCCCATTTGTGTTAATTTGTTCATAATAAATGTGTAAATGTGTCTCTTTGCTTTGTTTTCAGTTATTTTGATTCATTTCTTTGTTATGTTTAACCGATTGAGTTGATTTTTATTTAGCTTTTTCTTGGTTCAAAATTGTAGCCTGTCAACTCTAACAAAGAAGATGCGTCAATTACTTGACAACTTTTTCGTTGATAATTTCGTTATTGATTTAATTAAACTATTCCTAAGTGATGTAAAATAATCCATTGTTGCTGTCTGTGCCGTCAAATGATTTACATAATAATGGAAATGTAAATTGGTAAGGAGACAACACTTCCCTTTGAGATTGATTTGTGAATAGTGAAGAAGCTTCATTGTCATGGTTGACAAATTGATTGAATAAATTGAACCAGATAATTGTGAAACTGAAAAGTATACCCAAGATATTTACAGTGAAAATGGGAATAAATTGATTACAGCTAAATGTTGTCATTTGAGACATCAATTACATGTGCATTACATTCGGAGGTGACACCTCCAAGACGCTAAGGACTTCAAAAAGAGTATCATATCAAAATGTCCGACTATACGTACCTTTGATGTTAGTTGGCTCGGTTAGTTGATAATGATGAATTTCAGCTACAACTTGGGTTGTCACGAATGATTTATCATAATCTTTCATCGTTGCTCCTCAAGGTAAATACACGAAACAACTGATATTGAAATTTTGAGATGAACTGAGAAAGATGAAGCAAAGAGTAAATTTCAAAAATTGTTTTCCTGATCTCTTCTTTGTAGCATTTAGATACAGATTTGGTTTTGATTTAATTTTTGGTAACCTCCTAAATCTGTCCGTTTTTAACTCCAGTCAACCAAACTGATTGCTAATTGACTACTTTATGTTTTGACAATTAAATTTAAATTGTTTAAAATTGATTTTTGGTAAGAACTGTTTAAATTAAGATATCAGTGTTATTATGGGCTCAGTCTAAAGCTGGCTGGAAGCAAAAACAGATTTATTTTGGACGTTACCAGTTTTTTTAAGGTACAGATATTTTCAATGGATATCTGTGTTCAGCTGATTACAGATGTACCTGGTATTGAATCAAGGCCAAACTAACCTGTGATGATGATGATGAGGGTCAGAGAAATAGGAAAGAGTGAAGCAGATCAATATCATCAAAACAAAAGTCCAACATTGGTTAGCAGTGATTTATGGAACCAGTTAAAATGATAATTAACATTGATGAGAGATACAAGTGGGATAACACATTAGTACACAAAACAAAATGGATTTAAGATTAAGGATAAACCCAACTCTACAGGATAATAAATAGACTATCGATTGAGAGTCACCAACAAGAGTAAAGGAAGAAGACGATTAAATCGTTGACAATGATTCAAGATTTCAATTCGTTGTTGCTGATGTTATTGTTTTTTGTTGTCTCTTCCAAACTTATTATGTTTCAGCACTACACCTACTTTTATTACTATTATATCATTGTTGTTATTATCATTGAATACTGGGAATGCTCGATCAACAAGATTTTTCCTGAGTGAGATTCACAATCAGAATTGTTGGTATAAATCTTTGCGTCGAATCCAAATTTTTTGGTAACTCATATCTCTTTCATCCAACCCTTTATTTGTATTTTCTGGTTCAAACCAAGAAAGAGATGATATTGTGGATGATAAAGGATTACCTCCCAGCAGCCACGTTATTGGTTAACAAATAAATACATTATCAAGTTCACCGAATATAAAATGAAAGGTTTCATTTTCGCACAAAGTTCTGGCTTTCATTTCTCTGACCCCAACAAGAATTGGGTTAAGTCAAGTCCGACAAGAAACTAGTCGATATACTGGATAACCATTTTCACCCCAATGTTTAAATTCATTAAAAAAGCCATAAATTTACGAGACTTGTGATTTGAACCTCAAGAAAATAGCATCAGAAAATCAGATCTTTTGGTAATGTGAAGTCATTCAATGAAGTGAAATATAACATGAAAACAGCAATTATTAGGTTGAGTAAAAATAAATGTCCGATTTTAGCATCCTGATTGTTAATCAATATCCTAACAATCAACCCATAGGATGAACATAATGAGAATTAGCGGGAAATATTGCTGCAGTATTGCGGATCATTAGATAGTTTTGTTTAGTAAATTTTAATTCATTTAGTGAGTGTATTTTAAGGTCAAAATGCAGCCAAATTCGGCAGAAATTCGGTTTGTTTTATTAAATAGATTTAAAAATGGCGATAATGCGACTCAGGCCTATCGATATTTGTGTTTTTCTTACGGTAGTGAAGTGCTAAGTGAGCGTCAGTGCCGAAGGTGGTTTTTAAAATTTCGAAGCGGCAATTTTGAGGTCAAAGATAGTCCAGGTCGGGGACGGAAAATGACCTTAAATCTTGAACGATTATAACCTCATCAAGCGATGGAAAAGACTTATTGATGCTGGTGGTGAATACAGCTTTTGATTGTTATCATTCATTGAATCTCAATTGACAATTAAAAATGACTCTTAAAACGGACATTTATTTTTACTCAACCTAATACAAGTAATGATACAAATCACTAACACTTGATTTAAAACAATTCAACAGTTTCTTTTTTATAGTTACACTTACACTTAAGTCATGTTCCACCCTTGAAGACCTCAAAGGTCCTCTAAGGAGGCCAGGGTACCAGGATCCAGATTAGGAAAGCTATTGGTTGATAACAACAACTTTGTAGTTCATTTTAAGTTGCGTTTAGTTTTTTACTTGCTATTGTTTTGTTTCGCTGGTCGTAGATGGCGTTACTGAGTTGGAGCTTCAAACTTTGTTTTTTGGTTTTTATTAAGGTATGAACCCTAGTCAGTCAGTCAGTGTAATGTTAGTGTAATGGTAGCTATGTATTTGGATACAACAAAGTGAAGTGTTCAAGTGTCAGGCAACAATGTTAATCAACACCAATGGAGTAGGAGATTTGTTTTTCATTTCAATTTTAACAATTTCATTTCTTCTTTCATGTGAAACACACGAAATAATTATCCGTCGAGGACACAATGGATCAATACCATGTTTACCAGTTCAACGGTCAAGTAAAATTGACAAACTGGAATGGTGGAAAGAGGATAAAAAAATCGCCGAGGTAAGATTACTTTTTAAATCTCAGTTCGATTAGATTCAAGTCATTGTTAATCCTTTTCCGGGTTTACATGATCATAACCATGCTGTTATAATTGACCAACGCTGTGATCATTTCAAGATTTGTCATCAACACCTGTCATGGTTTGAGTAACAAAAAGATAGAGAAAAGAGATAAAGAAGATAAAATTGATTTCGACAGTCAATTGATTGCTAATTTTTTAATCAATACTGTTGACCATGTTTAATGCCTTTGACGGTTCCCTTAATCAGTTGAAATTATTTAACAAGAAAAATATATTTTATCATTTTCTTCCTTTTTTTGCTTCTTCTTCACTCTTTCGGTTTGTCCAATATTTGACTCGAATTGGGCATGATCCGTTCAATATGCCGAATAAGTAAGAGTAGCTTTTGACTCATTGTTATGACTTTAAATCGAGTATCGACTCTGCCATAAGTAATTCAATTTATTTTTGTTTAGAATCTTGAAAAAATCAGAAATGAATGATCAGAAATTTCAGCGGGAGAATCTCCGAAAACTAAAAAACTTTTTTATCAAAATTTGGTCAATTTTTTTCGGCGCAAAATCATTTTGAAACCTCTTTGCTCAATTTAACCAACACTGTTAGTGATGATTAATGATCTCATGAAATGTTTAAGAAAATTGAAAATTGAATTAATCAAGTTTTGCCGGTAAACAATTTAAATCAATTTGAAAGGAAAGATCAACTTTGTCATCTTCATTTTGTCATTGTCTAACATTATAAAAATAATATTTTAACACAATTTTTCATCAACACTCGACTGACTAGATCAAGTTAAATGATGATCTTCAGAGATCCTTAATCAATGAACATTTTACTCAACCAATTAGTCGTTTAATTATTGATAGTTGGTTATGAATCACATGAGAATCGAGTTGTTAGTGGTCTTTGAAAGTGGTCAACTTGTAAACCTAATTTTTTCACCTTTATCTTGACTGATTAGATTAAAGAGAGTCGCATGACTCTTTGGACAGCTGAAGACCTTCATGTTGCATTTTTACCTGAAACTGGAGGACTTTATTTTCGTTCAGCTCAATACCAAGACGATGGTGAATACTCTTGTATTGTGAATGAGAAAAAAACAGCAGATGGCAATGTCCGTCTCTACATTCAAGGTAAGTCACCTGCTTTTCTCGTCTCAACACAAAACAACTGAAATCATTGAGATTAACCCATTTCTAGTAGACATCAATTTACCGGTCAACTAAACCATTTACAAACTAATAATAGCAAGTGAATATTGAAACAATAATTACACAAATTTAACGATTTGATTAAAGTTGTTGAGTTTTTTTTCAACACACAACTCAGTCATTAGGTAACAAGAAATTATTAAAAAAAAGTAACGATTGATCAAAATATCAATGAGACGTCTTGTATTAATAGACCAAAAAAAGTACGAACAACAAAAAAATAACAAATGATTTACCCAAAATTACAGTTTACACTGCAGTTTGTATCAAATTTAACTAAAGTGTTGAAGATTATGATTGATACTCTTAACAATCATTATTATTTCTGTGGTCAGAAAAAAATATATCATTTTATATATTCAATGAAGTTAAGGCCACAGAAAAAAAACATCTCAACGTTAACCGTTGATCTTTACCTCATCTTTAACTCCTCTTTATCATTCTGATGGTGACTATTATCTTTGAAAAATGATTGTTACATGATTAGGTGCTGACCTTGTCAAGAGCAAAAATGTTACCTCACTGAGGCCAAACGTTTTTTTGCTTTTGATCAACTCAGGCCAAACAAAAAACTCCCCCAACCACCTTCATCCTGACTGTTGGTGAAAACCTTTAATTTTCAATCCCAACAAATTGCACCATTGACTCTGTTTGTTTTCAGCATCTTCTTCCTCCTCTTATCGTGAAATCCGGTCAAAAAATTTTGGCCTTTTCTTCTTCTTCTTGCAAATGTTCAACTTGAAACTCCCATAGCAATAAGTCTCATTGAAAGGTATTTAGCAAAAAATATGATTACAATGATCAGTTGAAGACGTGGTTAACTTGATAACATCAAATTGTGCTCAAACTGAATTATCATTGTCCGCCCACTAAATAAACTTATCGTTATCTTGATGAGAAGAGTCTGAATACTGGTCAATGGAATACATGGAAAATGTGATTGGAATGAATTTGGGTTTTCCAAAAGTTCTATGATATTATTGGAATGGTTCATGTTTTCAGATTAATTTACTTTGACCCAGTTTTGCTTGTAACTCCTCTGAGGCAATGAGAAGAGCAAAGTTGAGTTTCAATGAACTTTGCTCAGCTTCGTAGGCATTGCGTCAACTCTGTTTATCCGGAGATGATAACGATGAGAATAACAATGAAGAGTGATGAAAAAAAGCGTTTACAGGTCAAACTGGATACAATTTCAAGATGAACATTTTCAATAATTTATTCATTTTTACAGTTTTCATTTTTTGTTCAACATTTTCCAATTTCTGGGTCATTTGCAAATTATTATCCATGCATTTACCAATGATGATAGGGAAGGAAAGATGCTGCTGAGGTTGGTGATGAACAAGATGGGCAAGATGATTAACCAAAGCTAAATTGCTACAGATGATGCTAATAGTGAATAAATCGTATCAAAGCGTGTTAAGGATAAAAATGATTTCCATCTTCTTATATCACAGTGAATTGCGATTAGTAAAGCTTCCCAATTGATTAGCTTCGTAACGTTTTAACAATAATATCGTTTTGAAAAAAACAACTGAACAGGAATCTTGCTTGAATGCTCACTATCCTCTGGCTCGTGCTGAGATTGTCACTGCTCAATGCTCATCATCATAATCACCATCACAATCAAATAATGATCATAATCTTTGTCTCATTCAAACTCATTAATCTCGGAATCTCTTCTGAAACAATTTTGATTTCTAGTGAATCGCAACGATCCTTTCATCTTTTGTTTCAGATTCAATTTTTAACGTTTTCTTCTTTTAATTTCTCTCGACAATTTGAAATAATATTTTGTAGTTGAAATTTTGATTTAAGCTCAACAACATTTAAGATAAATTTTGTAGCCATTAAAGTAGTAAAGTGATGATGTTTGATGACAGAAAGATGATTCAAAAAGATGCATTACTGTACAAAGAGATGAAAAATGATGAAAATGATGATAATAATAATGATGATGATGCGTCACAGTTACTGGTAATAAACTCAAGACCATTGATTGATAGTCATGTTGCCTAGTTTAACCGGATTATCAAAGTACCTTTTTCATCATTTTACCTGAAGAGCAAAAAACAAAAATTGTGATCTTTGGGACTTTCTTGTTTCACTGTGTGATATCATCCAAATTGCATATTACAATTGGATTGGCCAGTAAACCACGAACCAGAGCATCTTTCATCTGAAAAGATGATGATGATGATAATCCTAAGGTGACTTTAAACCCATTTTCAAGACTCAACTTTGAAATATATTTTCATGAGCCATTCTTGAGTTGACAAGTCACCATGAATCTTTACCTTGCAATCAATTTAATTAAGTTTATCCAATTGATTAAGCAAACCAAATGTCTTCAACTTTGAAATACGAGAAAAAATAAGGAAAAAAGTATACTTTTTTACTCAATGACAATCCATTTATTTCAAGTGAATTACAGGAAACTTTGAATTTCATGGTTCATTATCAGAACAACTTCAAGTTGCTGAAAGATTCAATTTTGTTCAGTTTATCGAATGAACAAAAAAAAAGCTCTCAAAAAATGATGATTCAGCAAAGAACAGATGAAACTGAAGAAATGAAAAATGTTTCAATTTTTGTTGAACTTAATCAGCTGAGCAAAACAAAAGGTGAAAGTTTGACCCAAGGTCAGTCGATAATTGTTTTTTCCTCATTTCCAGTGTTACCTCATTTATTTGCTTGTTAAGATATGTCAAGATAAATCGCTTTTTTACGTAAATCTTTAGCACTTTCCTATCTTCCCATCAATAGTGAATTAAAGTTGATTGTAAATTTGAAACAAAATTAACCAAAGCAAAATGGTTTGGCTGCTGTTTCTGCTTCTGTAATATTAGTTTGCAATTTTCATCATCATCACCCTGCAAACAAACAAGCAAACAAAAAATGAGAGATTACTTTGAAGAGTAAAAAAAGGTAGAGAGATAAGATGAAACACCAAAAGTTAACTTTTACCTTCTCTTACCTTCTTAGACTTTCATAGGTAAACTGGTCTTAATAATAGCATAATAACTTGACCATCGATGGTCAATCAAAGTAAACAAAGTGAGAGGGAAAAACTTGAAATAATAACAAATAATTGGTTGATGTGCGTTGTCAAAATGTTTGCAAGCAATAACATGATGATGATGAAGGGGAGTAAAAGCAGGCGATTACGTTTACATGATGATGAACGCTATTAGCTGAAATTGTTTAGCACCTAAATAAGCTTTACAATTGATAATACTTGAGAGAGAAGAAGATGGCAAAAAAATTGATGAAGAGAGGGAGAGATGAAAGGATGACTTGTGAAGCCCACAAAATGTTTGCTAACAAGGAAAGGAAAGTTAAGGTTTACCTGGGAACCATGAACATTGGAAAAGGTCAGTTTGCAGTGAAAATTTAAAGCCACTTGAAATGATGAGGTAAACTTGTATCTCTGCCACAAATCAATTTGAAATAATCGCTGGGTCAAAGGGCGAGTTAATATTGTTATTTTTGCTCTTTCATTGTTTTCATGTTTACCCGAAACAAATCATCTTAGAGACTTGAAGAGGGAGAGAGAAGAGAAAGGATAATGATGATAATGATGAGGGGTAATGATGAAGGTGGAGTGATGCAGAAAAGGTTAACTTCATAGGTTAACATTTCTTGACGTTTTACCCATTTCAATGTACTTAGTCTTTGCTTGTTTAAAATATATAACATTAAGCTTTACCTTTAGTTTTATAATTCACTTGAATATTTGGCTTATTTTTTTGCTTCTCTCTCTGTCTTATAAGATTTAAATGATAATATTAAGTGGATTAAATGATTAAATTATTTTTAAATACATAATATTTTTGTTTCTTCCCTTAACTTGTTGGTAATAAATTGAAAAGCTTGAAATTTTCTTCTTCTTCTTCTCCTTATTTTTACCTTTGAATTATTAGCATTTTTTGTGAAACAAGTAAAGTTTCATTGGCTTTTAAATACAGGTAGATGATGATGATGAAGTGGGCTGAGTGAGAAGTGCCTTTCTTCCTTTGAAATGGATAAAAAAAATGATTCCTAATGGATCAAGATGAGAAAACAGTTGAGTGTTATGATTGATGAGAATTATTCAGAAGTTTGACTGATCAGTCAACGTAATCAACCCATAACCATATTGATAACACCTTGAGAATCATGGATAACATCATCAGCACTTATCATGATTATCACCTTATCACAGTCACTAAAGTTCACACAAAATTTGACATCAGCCAATTTTCATAATATTCATGGATAAAATGGTTTGTCCAACTTGAACTGATATCAATTGCCATTAGATTAGATCAAAAAGCGTAGGTTTTCCCATATTTTCATGTTCAACTTATTGTGACAAGAAAAATGACAAAATTTACAAAAATTCAACTTAAAGTTGAGTTTTCATCGAATCATTATTGTGACAAGAATATCTAAACCAGAATTGACCAAACAAATCTACTGAAGTTGATTCTGATGAACGTTTCAACAACAAAAATAAATCCAAATCATTTAGGTGTAAATTGATAATTTGTATTACTTGATATTCATGATATTTTTGCTTTATGAATATTTTAAAGACGATTTATTATTAGAATTCATTTTTCAAAGTGAAAAACATTTTTCATGGATTGAACATGAATGGCTATTTATAAACTATCAATAGTCAATCATTTACATAACCATTAATTGTTGACCTAAACTTGAAACTAAAGATGAAACAAGTTGAAAGCAGGTTCAAGTGTAGCACCTAAAAAATGATTATTCAGTTAATTCCTTTGTGTATATTTTTCAAATTTAATACAACAAGCATCATCCATCAATAGCAGACAATGACAATTGCAATTTCATTTCAACTTTGATCATTTCAAAAGGTAAGGTAAAAGTTTAAAGAAACAAGATTGAAAAACAAAACAAAAGTCAAG